ACTGCTGCAAGAAACGACAGATACAATGTAGATAACACATCTAATTACTACTTTAATGTGCCATAATTTTTAAAGACAAATTCTGAATATAAGTCGCAGTTAGAATTGATGTAAACATTATGGCACGAGTCCGGTTGGTTATCTGGGATAATTAGACGGCAAAAAGCGAAATGTTGAGTAATTTTTTAATTATTATGGAAGAATAACATACTTATGTGGCTGTATGTATTATTTATCCTACAAGTCAGGCGTTCAACTGTTGAGCACTGACACTGACTTTGTGACCTATAAATACGTGCATTTGTCGGCATCATTATGCATTCAACAGCCATGTTGTTAGGATTTACTGATTTAGAATAGATAGTTCTGTAATTACTCAAAATACGTCAAACCAAATGTTACTTTAATGGCATATGATATGTTTTGTTGTACATCTTTAAGTGTATCTTCATTAGTAAACTGGATGTTTAGTATATGGATGGTAGCAAGTTTGATCACCGGTCTTCAGTGGCAGTTTAAATGCGGTTAATTGTTTTCATGTTTGAAAAAAGTGCCGCGTGCTTAAGAACATGGGGGTAATTTTCCTTTTGACGAGATTGCCCAAAGGACCAACTCTTAGCCTGGTGCATGAGCCTTTTCTACCTAAAGCAGATGGTCCTCTTGTAGGACAACAATTTGCTGTACCGATGGGGGTCCTTCACGTGTGCCCAATTTGGACGTAATGTTGATGATCATTTAAGTTTTGGTTTTTCATTGCATACCCTCGCTCAAGGGTTCAACTAAAGTTGTAAACGTCCAAATCCAAAAGTGTACAAAGTATTGTTACGCCATAACCATGTCAGTTACTCAGTATTCCGGATGAAAAGTTCTTCAATGTACACTGTCAATTATAAATGTTTGAAAATAGTAAACGTGTCCTAGTAGTCAATATATTTTGTTCTGTAAAAAGTGATGTAAAATGGCATAGTCGGAGGTAACTATATTTGGGACAACATTTTGAGTAATTACTGCCGAACTTACCGTTACTATATTGTCTAACTACATCTCAGGAAGAGTTTAACTTGCAATTTTGAACAAAGTATTTTTGTGAATAACACCTCAGTTCAGATCGTACTTTGAATATTTGGGCTGTAGAACTTTAGATCTTGTGCGAACTCACTGTATCTGTTACAGTACAACCAGAAATTATTGAGAATTTAAAGATTGTAGATTAATGCGGCGGGGCATACTACTGATCAAAGAAGTTAGAAAGTCGTGGTCCATGCTGTCCCAATATCGGACCACCTCTTCTTTCATTTCAGCAATATTTGTCAGATTTTTCTTATTGACACTTTCCTTCATAAGTCCCCAAACATTTTCTATTGGATTTAGCTCAGGGCTGTAGCTTGGCCAATCTAATAATGTCATATTTTGGGTCCGAAACCAGGCCTGTGAATGCTTTGAACGATGTGATGGGTCGTTGCCCATAGAACACGTGAGCAGATGGAAGTAAATGTCCCTCGAGAATATCTGTGTACCGCTTACTGTTCATATTCCCTTCAAATACACAGAGGGGCGTTCCCCTAACACAGATATGCCACTCCACATGTTAAATTTCGGACTGTACTTTGGGTGCTGATACCAATTTAAGGTTTTTCAGTTTGTTTGGTCCAGAATTTCAGTGTATTAGGAAACAGCCACACAGAACTTTCATCTGAGAAAATCACATTGTCCCAGTGAAAATTTCTATGCTGTAAGCACCAGTTCAACCTTCGCTCCTTTTGTTCAGGTTTCATGATCGGTGATGGAATTCCTCGACTTTTCTGCCAACCCATTGCATGCAGCTCAGTTCTAATTGTCTCCTTACAGACAGCCACAGTTCCTCTATCAATCATATCCAGCCTTAAGTTTTCTAAACTCATTCGTTTGTTTTTAGAAACAAGAATATCAAGCCGCCTCCTGTCACCGACAATCAATTTTCTGGGCCTACCTGCGCCTCCCTGGTGCTCCGTGCCATATCCATTTGCAATATTTTTCAAAACACGATAAACAGTGGACAAAGGGATGCCTGTTCTACTTGAAATCACTTTAGCTGATCTGATGTCCTTGTTATAATACTGTAAAATTAACTTCCTCTTCTCTTAATCATCCATACTGAGGATCACTCAACTGCTAGAAAGTAAACAAAGGGGGATAACTCTTCACAAACTAATGAAAAAGGATTAACGGAGTTGTGTCTCTTGAATGAAACCAAGCACTTGATAGCTGGTCAAGGTTGTTTATACTAGAAATCCAATTAAACATATTCCTAAAATTCTCAATAATTTCTGGTCATACTATACAATGTATGATTCTGCTGCTCTGTATAATGTCATTTGTATATGAAAAATAAATATAAAATGCTATGCTACTCGGCTGCTTTGTAGTTATGTTATATTGTCCTCTTATTCGGTTTCTTGCAGACATGACGTCATCAACTTAATTTTGGCACCCCAATTTAAGGTGGTATTTAAATAATAATGCTATTCTGGCGTAATTTTATATCGTTGTGCATGTTTATGAGGGTAATTGTGAAGGAATATTTTTCGTGATATCCAAAGGTTACACCCCCCATCCCATCCCCCACTCACACAAAGAGAGAAAGCTATGTAACAACATGTCTGTCTGTCCGTCCGTACTCCTGTTTTCCGTTTTCTGGTTCCGGAACTGAGCTCTTTTAAAAATCGTTGAATATGTCTTGTTGAGTGAGTTTTACGCCACACTCAGCAATATTCCAGCTATATGGCGGCGGACTGTAAATAATCGAGTCTGGACCAGACAATCCAGTGATCAGCAGCATGAGCATCGATGTACGCAACTGGGATACGATGACATGTATTAACTAAGTCAGCAAGTCTGACCAGCCGACCCCGTAAGTCGCATCTTACGACAATCATGGGTAAGTGAAGATCAATTCTAACTCTGATCTTCACTAGTTATTTCTTGTTGAAACTGGCTACACTGCATTGCTGCAGTCGAGCCTTTAGATGATTAGTGTTTTAAATATTTTTGTTTTATGAAAACGAGTTGATCTTGATTGAAAATGGGTTTAGTGGACATTTCCGGAACAAATATCCAAAATTTAAATATTTTTATGAAACTTGCTCTATGTGCAGTTCAGTGAAGTGGTGCCTTTTGATGAATAGGGGTGTTGAAACTCATTGAACAACATTATTGGTTTCTTCACTGAACTGGGGCGGTGGTTAAAGCGTTGGCTCGTCACGCCGAAGACCCGGGTTCGAATCCCCACATGGGTACAATGTGTGAAGCCCATTTCTGGTGTCCCCTGCCGTGATGTTGCTGGAATATTGCTAAAAGCGGCGTAAAACCAAACTCAGTCAGTCGGTCTTCACTGAACTGAAGGTATACGATACCAGCGAACCGAACGTTAGGTCTTAAGTAGCTAAACTCTACTTCCGAATTACACCAGACTGGGGGTGGGAAGGATATGTTATCCCTTGCAGACTCTTTACTTAAAGTTGGGACGGATATTGGTTTTGTCCGTTCTGGTAAAAAATATATTCCATATGCTTACCGTTGTGTCGCGGAGAAGAAGAAAAGAACACCTAGAACTAAACAAATATCCCAAACTTCCCATATAATATTCATATATCTGTCCCCATTTGATATGAAGTGTCACCCTTCCGAATAATACAGATTGATTTCATAATATACCTGAAGCCCATTTCTGGTGTCCCCTGCCGTGATATTGCTGGAATATTGCTAAAAACGGCGTAAAACCATATATTCACTCACTCATAATATACCATTAAAAAAGGTAGGGGATGTTCCATTTTTCCATACCAATGCCAATGCATATGAGAAAAAGTAATATATATCCATACAGATGAAACATTTCCACAGGAATGGAATAAATTGTCACATTTTCCCTTAATTTGTCTTCATCATCTGTTTCCTCCTTGGCTTCATCATTTTCATTTTATCAATCTTGTAAATCCAATATCCCCTAACCTTTTATGGTATATGTTTAATTACTGGAGCCTGGTCATTCGACGGGATATCAGAACTTGTGACGCGTTTTAGAATTGCCACAGTTCGTCACAATTTTGCGTGCTTCCATTCAGTTACTTGCTGATACTCTCTCGAGCTGCACGTGCACATCTGGTTATTTTCAAAACACGTGTTGTTGGAACTGTTTGTCAAAACGTTACCAGAAAGTATTTGGACCATTCTGTTCAAATCGTTAACTGAAAGACCTGTATTTGTTGTTTCTTCGTAACACATTCCAACCAAGAATGGCGGCTGTTTTTTTTATTCTGGATCACCCCAAAGATTTTACCCGCTGAACAAATATTTTCCAAATGGGTTTGTACATAGGGGAAACATCAAACGGTCGAATGTCACTTAAGGAGGACTTACTAGGCAGACTTCCTGCAAGCCGTACTGAAAGTGGAATAGTAAAATACATCGTATCAGTAACAATACAACAGCCTCTAATTACCTACTGGGGGCGGTGGGGTAGCCTAATGGTTAAAGCGTTGGCTCGTCACGCCGAAGACCCGGGTTCGAATCCCCACATGGGCACAATGTGTGAAGCCCATTTCTGGTGTCCCCCGCCGTGATGTTGCTGGAATATTGCTAAAAGCGGCGTAAAACCAAACTCAGTCAGTCAGTCAGTCTAATTACCTACTAAGGCCCACAGAATGGATCACATTAAACGTTGGGTGGTAGTTATAAGGCCATTGGACCATGACATAAACAAGCGACGTACAGGGTGATGCAGACACTACTCGTGTGATGGGCGTGGCTGAAGATGTCAGATACTGCAACTAGTTGGCTGGAAGTTGTAAGTGATCATGTTTTGGGTGACGTCGAGACAATGTGCGGCAGCCCTGGAAAACACACAAAGGCCAACCAGTCGTAGTGGACTGCTGATTCCGACAGAGTTGAATGATGAACCACAGGATGACTAACTTGAGTGAGAGGTAAGATAGGATTTCATATATTTTAACAAATCTTTGTGCGATTTACATATTTATTTCAGAATGAAATTACATCAATGGAACAAATCATGAATATAGCCTTTTACCAAGATCACACCACTTTTACAGATAAGCCCGAGATAAATATGATAAACTTGATACGTGAAGCGGTCTGTAAAAGGTATAATTTACACCATTACTATGCATGATAATTGAAGCAATCTGTAAAAGATATGATTTACACATTTACACTTAATGAGTTACGCTGAAGACCTGGATGCCCTTATACAAAACATCTTAGCTCTACGACAGTCGTAAGTCTGTGTTACGGTATAGGAGTTACAACCACCTTAGCCCTAACATCGCTTTGTACAACGGCACCCCGGGTTCTATTCCTACGTGGGTTCAGTAGGTGAAGCCCATTTCTGGTGTCCAACGCCGTGATAATGCTAGATAATTGTTAAAAATGCCGATAAACTATAATAACGCACTGCCTGATTATGTGAGGCTGTCTTTACGAGACACTCTTCACACTTACTATGCATGATACGTGAAGCAATCTTTAAAATATAAATTGTACATTTACATTGCATGAAAGGTGCAGATGTCCTTTAACGTTTTCAAACATGAGTTCCAGCTATGTGCTTTGCATGGAATGTCACTTAAATTTGAACTATAGATATTTTCTTTGCATAATATGAGAAGCACTCCTTCACAGATGAAGTCTAGATATGTACTTTGCATGCCATTACGAATTTCAACTGTACATGATGCAGTTTTATTACACTTATGCTTGAAATGTATATTTTATGAATGTCCTAATAAAATACATATCTATAAACAACTAAAAGACTTACATAAGAAAGTACACACTTGGTGTTTGGGGATTAACCACCCGCCCCTACAAAAACCCAGAGCAAATATACTGAGAGAAACAAATAAAGGAACACAGGAAAATTCAACTGAATGTTTCGTTAACATTTTCCATTTTTCATCACCAGCTTTGAATAGCACTGTGGGAGGAAATCTGAAAATATATAAAGGAACACTGCCATGAAGTGGCGTTCCCTTATTTGTTTCCCTCAGTATATTTCGAAAAGTGTTAAAATTCTTTTGAAAATGTATACATTGATCTCTTGAAACCTTAGCAGCAAAGGTGTACTTTCTTGTATACGTCAGTTTACACGGTTTTATTACACTGTTTTGGCGTGTGAAGAAAAAGTATTGGAATTTCAGCTATATGTGACACAATCTTAGTACACTATTACTGACATATGTAGATAAAATATTAGGAATGTCAACTATATCGGGACAGAGTCGTACGTACAATATAACTGGCGTTTTTAGATATATTCGGAATTTCAACTATATGTGATTCAGTTTTATTACACAATTACTGGTGTATGTAGATATACTTTGAGGGATTTCAACTGTATGTGGCACAGATGTATTTACAGCATTAGTGGCACCAGCAGGTATATTCTAAGGTATTTCAACTACAGTCGTATATATGTTGACATTTTATTAAACTAATCTCGTCGTATGTAGATATATTATTAGGAATTTCAGCTATATGTGATGCAATTAGATTACACTATTTTGGCGTATGCTATGTATTATTACGTACGTAGTAACTATATAAGAATGTCAACTGTATAATGATACAGATTTATTTATTTACAATATTTGTAACATTTGTAAGAATATTATTAGGTATTCTAATTATATGTGATGCAGTGCTATCACACTGTTCTGGCGTATGTAGATACGAATTTTATATGTGGTGCAGTTTCATGTTTTTGTATGGTTTCAGAGCGAGACAAGCAATTTTCTTGTTTTACTGGGGTTATTGTGTCAGCCAGTTACAAATATACCACACTGCACTTTATGTACATGGACAAAATTACCAGAGAGGATATGGTTACCGACACAGTAAACGTATCTCGTCTTACAGTCCTGCCACAATGCGGGGATATGTTGATCCGGTTAGTTTTCCACAATACTTCTGTTGAAACGCCAAGAGGTGGATAACAGTTGAAGCGTCCGTGTTCGAGGAAGTCTCCTTTGGAACTCCTGGTCTGTCCGTTGACTGGTAAACAGAGTTGATTATGGACATTTTGAGGTCATGGTTGATTATTCCCAAAACATGAATAGATAGATAGACAGATAGACATATTTCTATGGTTGATTATTCCCAAAACATGAATAGATAGACAGATAGACATATTTCTATGGTTGATTATTCCCAAAACATCAATAATGTTTTTTATATCACTCTCTACTGACCCCAGTATCTAGAGTTTTTTTCCAGGTGTTTAAGCAATACATATATAAATGGTGAGTCCAGATATTTCTTCTTATCAAAACTCCTTAATATGACATCTGACCCAAATGTGTAATGTATGAGAGAGTATGTCGTGATAGATTACAGTTCTTCAAATGTATTTGAGTGAGTGAGTGAGTTTGGTTTTACGCCGCTTTTAGCAATATTCCAGCAATAGCACGGCGGGGGACACCAGAAATGGGTTCACACATTGTTCCCATCTGGGGAATCGAACCCGGGTCTTCGGCGTGACGAGCGAACGCTTTAAGCATCAGGCTACCCCACCGCCCCATTCTTAAACTTATATTTTAAAAACATAATAGCTCACCCTTTAGTATACCGGGAATATCTATTAGGTTCACTGTAAAGTTGGTCTTCTGATCGCGTACTGCAAGAAACAACTAATGGTAAGTGGAACGCAATGAATACAGTTTAGCAAAACAAACGTTATTATCAGTTACAGTCTGTTTGCAGTGAAAACGTACCGATGAATTTCACTGTAAACAAAAAAGTAAATCGAATAAAGTGAATTAAGATTGCGAATCCTCATAATTTTACCTCGCCAACTGAAAAGTTAAATCTCAGAGGTTTATTCTACTTAGGATCGAAGTTGTTTAACAAACGATCATAGTTTGAAATCGCTATTATTGGTTTGTAATACAAGGGTGTGTGCACATTAAATGAAACACCGAGAACAAGTAGGTTTGGTCTAAGTTAACGCTCTTCACGTTCCGCACGTGCATTTGTTTCAGTGTTCAAACTACTGCGCTTACCCCCTTGTAATACAAACCAATAATAGCGATTTGAATCTATGATCGTTTGTAATATACACTACATTCACATAACCAGATATAAGTTGTCCTACGCAGTTCAACGCATTGCAATGCTATGAAACACCACAGGATGTTCCGGAGGCTTCGTTAGCCAATCAGATTCTCCCCAAATTAAAGATTGTAGACAAGTTTTCCCGATATTCCACTGATTTGAAAGCTGTGTTGTTGATTGAATACTGCAATACTGCTGACGTCAAACAGATACTCATGACATAGTCAGACTTGTACAATCGACATCGTAAGATTTCTTACGAATGTGGAAGGATGTTTATTGTGATCACTTCAGCTGATTGAACTGGATAGTTTGATTCTTGGATCAATAAATTTCTGCAGTTGGAATTTGTCTTAGCAGTTGCCAGATTTGTTGCGGGAAAACGTGAAACCCGTTTATGTAACTTAATCCTAGCCACCTTGATATGTACGGGTCATTGTAAAAGCGTGTCCAGTATATTCTGTTTCGCAATTAAAAAAGAAAAGTTTATCTAAGAACACGATACCATCTAAATCCGTTGAACCTATTAGGGACTAAATTAGCACATAGGTAACTTACGCCTAAAAATACATGTAAACATAAACGGTTGTGATTGTTTGACCATTTAACAGCCATGAAAACACCTTATTTTTTTGCTTTCTCTGAACTTCTAAGCATCGCTCTTACCGTCTCGTCCGTTTCAATGTTACTGTACACGGACTGTCCTTGTTTGTAACCGGCATTCAACAAACGAGGTTGGAGTTGCATTGGCTGATTATCCGCGAGATCTTCCTGTCCGTAGTCGTATTTGAACGGCCGTTGCTGGGATTTGATTGGTTGATTCCCTCCGCGGTGACCTTCCTGGCTATAGCCGTCCTTGAAGGGGCGTGGCTTTGGTTTCATTGGTTGGCCCCTGCCGTGGTCACCTATCCGGCTATAGTCGTCCGTGACGGGGCGTGGCTTTGGTTTCATTGGTTGGCTGCTGGCGTTGTTACCTTCCTGGCTATAGTCGTCCTTGAACGCACTTGATTTGTTCTGACCACGGGGCAAGTGGGTTATAGGGCGATCACTCCCCACATCCCTAAAGTATAGAAAACAGTGATGAACTTTTAACCCGACACCGGTCAACAATAATAGATGTTCAAAACGTCCATGAAAACCAAGGCACATGAGGCATCCGTGCAGAAAAAAGACTACAGAAGCCATTTCCGACCACACCCAAACCCATCCTAACTATACCAACCTTTGAACCAACATCAACATCCTTGAAACCAACCGGTCAGACTAAAGATCTGAAACCTGTTACGGGAAATAGACATGAAACGCCTGAACCCCACAATCAACAGAGATCAGGGTTATTATACCCCTACAGATTATTGTCATGTAGTCACGGCTAATCAACAGTAACCACTCTGTCCATTAGAGTGAGTGAGTTGTTTTACGCCACTTTTAGCAATATTCCAGCAATATCTCGGCGGGGTACACCAGAAATGGGCTTCACAGATTGTACCCAATTGAGGGAATTAAACCCGGGTCTTTTGCGTGATGAGCGAACGCTTTAACCACTAGGCTACCCCCGACCACCCCGTTTCGCTATTAGGCTTCATTCCTGTTATCTATAATCACAGCAACTATCAGCAATATAATCACTCTGCACAGAAACCTCCTCATCTGTATAAACCCAATCATCCGTCATGTGGGGCGGTGGGGTAGCTTAGTGGTTAAAGCGTTGGCTCGTCACGCCGAAGAGCCGGGTTCGAATCCCCACAAGGGTACAATGTGTGAAGCCAATTTCTGGTGTTCCCTGCCGTGATGTTGCTGGAATATTGCTAAAAGCGGCGTAAAACCAAACTCAGTCAACCATCCGTCATGTATATATTCTGTTAGTGTGTATAATAATAGTGTTTCACTTGCTTGGTAACGGTGTTAGAACCTCCACGGAAACCTCACATCTATTGCAATCCGCAGGACATCCAAACCCAATCTGGTAATTTTTTCACCAGAGAGTTAGTATTTTGTTGTTGGTTAACACCGCACTCAGCAATATTCCAGCTTTATGGCGGCGGTCCGTAAATAATCGAGTCTGTAACAGACATCCAGTGATTAACAGCATGAGTATCGATCTACGCAATTGGGATACGATGACATGTGTCAACCACGTCAGCGAGCCTGACCACCGATGCCTTTAGTCGCCTCTTACGACAAGCATAGGTTGCTGAAGGCCGGATTCTAGCCTAGATCTTCTCGGGTCTCTATTGCAATCAAGAAGTTGCTAATCCATAAACATGTTTTCTTCGTCATATCAGCGTCTAATGTCGTCAAAAGAAGTTACAATAATGTGTGACTATTAAGACATATTTCAACTTTAGGAAAACGTACATCAATTAGCGACAAATACACAGTGGACACTAAGCTATGCTGAACATTTACCAATTGTCCTTATGTTTGTCCTCATCCACAAACTGATATCCGTCATCGTCATCGTTGTCATAATCGGGAGAAATGTCGTCGTGGTAGTGACCAGTCCCCAAGCCAGATGACCCCTTCGACAGGGCATGACCTGTAAACATGTTTAGAGACACGTTTCATGGTTGTGTACACTTCACAAATTTCAAACATATTGTCTCGTTTATTATTAATAAATTCTGACTGATTGTTTCTTGTCAGTCCGTTTCTGGACAATCACTTGTATGTTTACGGACACAGTTGTGTGTAAGGAAGGAGGACCTCTCTGCCGCGCCCTGTACGACAAGACGTATTTAAGCTTTTCGTGACGTAATACACATTCCAAACATAGTTATGTTACTTACTAACAGCATGAAACTTACTAAATAAGGCTGCAGGCTCCATCTGCTCCCACTCTTGTCTCTCATTACCATGGTACCGGTTGCCCGGATAGCCGCCATTATTAGCCTGCCGGAAGTCGTCTGCTCTGCTTTGTCCCTTTGAACTATGTTCTGGTTTTTCTTGCTGCATCAGCCACTGTTATATCGAGATTACACGTGAGTTAGTCCTACATTTCAACCAAACCAATCATCTGTAACCTGTCAACGTCCGTAGGTGGCGAAATCTAGTATAGTCTCCTTATTGTAGTTTCTTGTTGGTCTTCCCATCATGTTGGGGAACGGATGGACCAGCTGTCTAAGGTGAATAAATGTATATTGCCAGGATGCGTTGGTCTTGGGTTCTAATCCCAGACTCTTCTTTATGATCTTTTGTTTTATCATACCCGTGGTGATGGGTCGTACATATCTTGAACCTACGTAAGTTCAGTCTCTTCTCCAGGAATCCTATTAATTAATGCCTTGGTCACAAATACCCTTACGAACGATTTTTGGACCAATTCGTACGGACTATTAAAGGATTAAAAGAAAACTATAATACTATTAAAAAATCCCGAATTTTTCACATCACCTTATCCCGCCATTACAGATTAATTATATTCCTATTAAATCCGGTGTTCGGTACTTCTTCTGAGAAGTATAAATCTTTGACCAAAACATTGTTGTAAGAAAGAATTGGATACAACAGATGTTCCGTTGTGAATACTTACTGATTGGTAGCTCTGGTGTTCACCAAGTACACCCCGGTAGCCGTACACCCCCTTCGTGTCGGCGGCAGGGTTGACCTCCCCCACGTCCCTGCCCCAAACATCCCCTTCTAACCCAGTCAGGTGGATTTCATCCTCACTGTGGTGTCTGCGGGAGGAAAATCAGAGCTAGGATTGATGAACAGCCTTTATTAATGTTTAGATAGTATTTACGCATTCTTTACATTTATAATACCCCCTTATGTGAACATTTCGATACATTATAACTGACGTTTCTGTGGCTATTTTGATATTAAACACTCCATATGTTTTCGGAAGACAAATTTACAAATGATTTAAATACACAATATGGTCAAGATTTTGTGAGCGTTCTCATCAGCCCTGCCGAAAGGAGTTTCGTGCGATGAGTGAGATGTGTGTCATGGGTGGGTTGTGTACGGATTAATTTGAGTAGAGTTATGAGGATCGGTTGGGTTGGGATAGGTAGGGATTCGATAGTGCAGAGTTGTATGGGTCGGTTGGGTTAGGAAGGGATTCGATAGAGTAGAGTTATGTGGATTGGTTGGGTCAGATAGACGTATGAATCGGTGTTGAGCGACGTAAGCAAATAATAACCCATGATACAGTCGCATATTTTCAATCACCTATTGTATTTTTATGACAGACTGTTTACGTAACCTTGCCATTTATAATATCAGTTATTCAGATTTGAGGGCCGATGGGGTAGCCTAGTAGTTAAAGCGTTCGCTCGTCACGCCGAAGACCCGGGTTTGATTCCCCACATGAGTACAATGTGTGAAGCCCATTTCTGGTGTCCCTCGTCGTGATATTGCTGTAATATTGCTAAAATCGACGTTAGAACATACTCACTCACTCATTCTAGTAATACAGTCAGTGCCAGAAACTTTGGGTTCTAGTAACATCGTCAGTTCCAGTAACACTGGCAGTTTTAGTAATACAGTCAGTTCCAGGAACACAGTCAGTTTTAGTAATACAGTCAGTTCCAGGAACACATTCTAGTAATACAGTCAGTTCCAGGAACATTGGGTTCAAGTAACATAGTCAGTTCCAGTAACACCGGCAGTTGTAGTAATACAGTCAGTTCCAGGAACACAGTCAGTTTTAGTAATACAGGCAGTTCCAGGAACACATTCTAGTAATACAGTCAGTTCAAGGAACATTGGGTTCAAGTAACATAGTCAGTTTCAGTGATAATAATGGAATATTGCTAAAAGCGGCGTAAAACTAAACTCACTCACTCATTATCCATATGAATGACATACAAAGATGGAACAACAAACAACTGGATGTTCGAAACATTTGTTATATGCAAAGAGAAAACGTGTTCCTACCTCTTTCGGTTCTTGTTCTTTCTTCTGGAACAACACGTCAGCAGCAGTGCAACCACTAGCAGCAGGATTATTCCCCCTCCAAGACCTCCAGCTATACCAGCGATGGCGCCTATCTCCATTGACAGCTTTTCTGTCTTTATATCGCATTTTTCACCGCTGTATACGAAATCCTCCGATATATCACACCTGTAAAATATAGCGTCTACATGCGGAATGACGAAATAGAATCTAAAACCAGGCTGTTAGTGCGGACAGATGTTAAATGAATAGATACCAGCAATTCTTGGTTTTTCAGCAACCCATGTTTGTCAGAAAAGGCGACTAACAGGACCAGGCTGGCTGATTTGGTTGACGCATGTCAACTTATCCCAACTCTGTTGATTACGAAGTCAATGACGTGATTATGTGGTCCAGATTTGATTGTTTACAGACTGCCATCATATAGCTGGAATATTGCTGAGTGCGGCGTTGTACACCAAAATGAAAATCATATTTAAATAATATTCATATTAACGAGAGAGCCACGTCAGCTGATGTTTCTATCATTGCCAGCTGCACGGACAAGCAAAGATTTCTTTCTGCTTACTTGCACACGTGATCTCCGTCCGAATTTATGTGGCACTGCCCATGTTGACATGCATCACCTGGGCACGTTGACAGGCACGTTACCTGTTCACTTTTACCACCAGAACAGTTAAAACCTCTCTGGCATATTCCTGTCGCTTGGCATTTGTCCCCAATGGTTTCCTGAACTGAAACATGATCACATAATCATCCTACTTTCGAGCAAACAGAAAATGGCATCATACTGGAAAGAGAACGTAAAATCTCAAAAATCATCATCCCAGCTGCCATTCACCTGATGAGGTTAGAAATTTTGACATCCATAAATTTTCCCCATTATTTATTACCTGCAGTAGTCATTCTGACATGTTGCACCTTGTTTCTATTCCTGACCCTGTTGGGAGCCCAATGATACATATCCCAATTTAGCATAACGACTCACATGATAGTTCCTGACGTATCTATGGTTACAATTCTGCGAGTACTTTTGCTGAAAGTAAATAATGGTTTACGCAGCTTTAGGCAATATTTCAGCAATATATCAGGACGGGACACTCAGGGTACGGAATTGACCCCGGACCTTCTGTTGGACGAGCTAACGTATTAACAACTGGACTACCCCACGCCCTATCGTGATGGAAGTATACACTGTCTGGCAAATGTACGTCTCTCTGATTCAATCGCTTTTCGTGTGATTCACACGAAAAAACCAAACGAGTGGACTATTGGATACACAATCTGGAACAGTTTCACTAAATGGAATGTTCCTAAAGAGTATCTAACTAAATATTGGGTACTTACTTTGTGAGATATCGTTTGTCCCTGTAAACGGTTCAACTTGGTTTTTAATATTGTCAGGTTGTTCATCTCGGTTAAGAAGGTACCATTGAAGGCATCCAACACATCATCGGCCGGTTCGTTTGCCCGGATGTTGACTTGATAGTGGCCAATAACTGTACCGTTTCTGGAATAATAATGACTGTTACTGGAAATGGCTGTGTTCCTGGAACTGACTGTATTACTAGAACTGACTGTGTTCCTGGAACTGACTGTATTACTAGAACTGACTGTGTTCCTGGAACTGACAATGTTACTTGAACCAAATGTTCCTGGAACTGACTGTATTACTTGAACCCAATGTTCCTTGAACTGACTGTATTACTAGAACTGACTGTGTTCCTGGAACTGACTGTATTACTAAAACTGACTGTGTTCCTGGAACTGACTGTATTACTAGAACTGACTGTGTTCCTGGAACCGACGATGTTACTTGAACCCAATGTTCCTGGAACTGACTGTATTACTAGAACTGACTGTGTTCCTTGAACTGACTGTATTACTAGAACTGACTGTGTTCCTGGAACCGACGATGTTACTTGAACCCAATGTTCCTGGAACTGACTGTATTACTAGAACTGACTGTGTTCCTTGAACTGACTGTATTACTAGAACTGACTGTGTTACTGGAGCTGACAATGTTACTTGAACCCAATGTTCCTGGAACTGACTGTATTACTAGAACTGACCGTGTTCCTTGAACTGCCTGTATTACTAGAACTGACTGTGTTACTGGAACTGACAATGTTACTTGAACCCAATGTTCCTGGAACTGACTGTATTACTAGAACTGACTGTGTTCCTGGAACTGACTGTATTACTAGAACTGACTGTTACTGTAATTAGAAATGGCGGGGGGCGGTGGGGTAGCCTAGTGGTTAAAGCGTTGGCTCTTCACGCCGAAGACCCGGGTTCGATTCCCCACATGGGCACAATGTGTTAAGCCCATTTCTGGTGTCCCCCGCCGTGATATTGCTGGAATATTGCTAAAAGCGGCGTAAAACTAAACTCAGTCAGTCAGAAATGGCGGTGTTACTAGAACTGTCCGATGTTATTGGGACTGTCTGTATTACTGAAACTAAACAACATTAGCTCGCAGGTTAAATGAGAGAACCACCATCTGGTTTAACAGTTCTTTGACAAGAATCTGAATATACAGGGTTTTAAATTAGGTTCAGTATCATTATGCAAACCGTACAGTTTGAAAAGCCCTAATAAAGCTGTGTACAGAAGGCAATTTTTCTTTATCATAGAAAGGTCTGTCACAGTGAGAAACAACACACTTACGTAAAGCCAGTTACGACCAGGTACAGGAACCCAGGGATGCGTGTGTAGACAGGTGTTAACTACAACAAGAGATACACAGTTTAACGCCGTACTCACCAATTATAAGACTATATAAATATCACAGGGTCTACCTGGATGAAACCTGGATGAAACGGTTAGAGCGTCCGCCCGGAGAGCGGAAGGTCGCGGGTTCGATCCCCGACCGCGTCATACCAAAAGACGTTAAAATATGGTACTTGTTGGTCCCTGTCTGGCGCTCGGCATTAATGGGTACAACAAGGACTGGTCGGCTCGGAGTCAGTATAATGTGTCTGAGTTGGGTATTCATGCTTCACTGCGGCATGGTATCTCAGTGGGCTAGCACTACAAAACCAGCTTCAGTCTGGGCTAGTACAAGCAGCCGCACATACACATACACACGCATGCACGTCGTCATATGAGCGAAATATTCTCAAGCACGACGTTAAACCCAATTTCACCTCACCTCACCTCACCTCACCTGGGTGAAACAGTCTAGTGATTGGGTTGCGACATGTATCAGCCACATCAAAGTACCTGACAACCCAATCCAGTTACTCGCTCTTACGACTGGAATGGATTGCAGAAACTCAAGCCCGGATCTTCATCGGGAATGGAGATTCATGATTTATATTTAGCAGGACGTTTCGGGTCTACGCATGTTATTCTCACACTGAAATGATGTTAATGGGAATATCTGCTAAATCTAGGATATATAAAGTGATAAAAGATACATTCATGGTCGACAGATGTGTGTGTATTTTGTATCTTTAAGACTGTGTCGGTGTGTGGAACCCTGTACAACATTTTTTATATGCTACATATAAACACTACGAGGTTAAACGACTCTAACTTCCCATGCGCGTTACAAATAATCGGATAACAAATGAAATTAACTCATTGATTTTAAGTAATTGCATTCATATAAACCCCGAGGCAAAGGTTTCGGAGTGTAGGGAGACTTATGAAAAGATATAATAAAGAATGTATGCGTGCGCGTGTTGTTTGCTGTGTAGCGCCGCAATATTCCGGCTTTCTGATGACGCACAGGGACTTGTAACCCAAAATGAAAGTAACATCGAAAGAAAACAGCTCATGCTGTTCATCACTGGATTGTCTGGTCCAGACTCGATTATTTACAGACCGCCGCCGTATAGCTGGAATATTGCCGAGAGCGGCGTTCAAATGACGTTGAAAATAGAAACTCGTTTTTTCCGGATGCCCTCGAGATGGCCATGTTGGTAACGTCAACAAATATCCATGGAAACATCCCCCAAAGCCTGTCATTCGTTAATCCAGGCCCCACTATCATTATCTGCGTAATGATTTCCATTTACCTTTCAGAAAAACAAAATAAATTCATCATAATAACGTCTGTATAAACGAGTGCACAAGTTCATGCTTAACACGTTCCTATATTGCAGACATATGTACAGTTGGTTTTCAGTGATAACAGTGAGTGAGTGAGTATAGTGTTACACCGCACCCAGCACTATTCGCTGCACTCAGTCTGTAAATAATCGAGTCTGGACCAGACGATCCAGTGATCAACAGCATGAGCATCGATTTACGCAATTGGGATACGATGACATGTGTCAACCAAGTCAGCAAGCCTGACCACCCGATCCCGCTTGTCGCCTCTTACGACAAGCATGGGTTGCTGAAGACCAATTCTAACCCGGATCCTCACAGGTCCAGTGATAACAAAAGTTCGGAGATCATATAGGATGTTCAATATTACCGCGGAATAAAACATACTAAAATTCTGTATTCCACTCGCACCTTACTGGGACCTTTACCTTAATTATAAGCTCGCGATTCCATTTCTCATACTCTTGCGATGTGTTGTTCATCAGCTCTGGGGGGAAATCCGCATCCACTTCTACTTTCATATCTAATTCGAACAATGCCGTATCTGTGAAGGACATACAACAGGGTACAAGTTACATAGGGACTATTGCTGGGCGATATATACTCTTCAAAAAACAAACGTGACATAGGACAAATTTGAATTGTAGAAAAATATTTGACACAAACCAATGCATGCTGAATCCCAGCATGTGGGGAATGGGTGCCGACGACAAAACGTTTAAAAACAGAAACGTTTAACAAAAACGCAACGCTACACTCACGTCTGAAGTGAATCGCTAAAACGCGCCCTACATGAAATGCACGAGCATCATGAAATAATGTATCACCCTGAGCTGAAGCCTATGACTGTAGGCTATAAAAAGCCACATCAATGATACCCCACATGCATTGCTTTTAAGCCTCTATAGACGACAAGAGAATGAACAGACCGACAGAAGCTGAACGACACAACCCCATCGGCCGTTTACAAGGACGGACATCGTAGCATGATGTGACAAGGCACTTCAGCGTGTCCAGACAGACCATCTCAAACCTATGGACCCGATACAAAAATACTTGGGGTGTTAATGACAGACCCAGGTCAGGTCGACCTGGAGTTACCACCGCCGCCCAGGATCGCTACATCCGGTTAAAACATTTTCGTTCAAACACCACGGCCGCATCATCCACAACAATCCAAATCCCTGGACTGCGCCGAATCTCCGACCAAATAGTGCGCAATTGGTTATGGGGAGCCATACTTTTTGCCCGAAGACCAGTTCAACGTCAACGGTTGATCTTTGAAGCATGACAATGCTCGACCTCAATTTGCACGTGTTTCACAGGTTTTCCTCCAGCAATGTTCAGTTGTTGGCTTTCTCGATCACCGGATTTGTCCCCCATTGAACATTTATGAGATACTCTTGATCGACGCTTGCGCCAGCGTAATCCGCCACCTCAGACACTACAAGAACTGCACACAACACTTCAAAAACAATCCTCAAGACAGCATTCGGCATCCCCTTTCTTCTATGGGTCACCGCTGCCAAGCTGTTATCGATGCTCATGGTGGTCACACCAGTTACTGACGGACATTTTATTCTTACCAAGTGGCTTTAATAGCCCTCGGTAGTTTTACCAAACACTTTCTGGATAATCATGTTTTGGAAATGTGTAAAGTGATGACTTTACTGTAACTGAGCAATGATGTCATGTTTGAATCAGTTATATGCACTCAGTAAGTAAACTCCAAAACAGCATGTCAAGTCTTTTTTTTGAAGAGTATATCATATACTCCTTACTTTCTGACTCGTAAAAATCAGGGTTAGAATATTGATCTTCAGTAACCCATGCTTGTCGTAAGAGGCGACTACCGGGATCAGGTGGTCGGGCTCGCTGACTGGGTTGACACATGTCATCGTATCCCAGTTGTGTAGATCGATGCTCATGCTGTTCATCACTGGATTGTCTGGTCCAGACTCGATTATTTACAGACCGCCGCCATATAGCTGAAATATTGCTGAGTGCGGCGTTAAACAACAACCAAGTCCTAACTCTCTGGTGAAACACTTACCCAGATTGGGTTTGGAGGTAGAGATGTCCTGCGGTGGTCGCGTTGTTGGCGGTGCTGTAACACGAAGGTCATGTGACTCTTTGTTGAATCATGATGACAACCAATGATATCATTGTTCTCACATCTCGACATGGATATATATTTCATTAGTAATCGGCTCAAGTGTAAACAATGACAATGTACTTTGACTGACTGACTGAGTTTGGTTTTACGCCGCTTTTAGCAATATTCCAGCAACATCACGGCGGGGAACACCAGAAATGGGCTTCACACATTGTACCCATGTGGGGATTCGAACCCGGGTCTTCGGCGTGACGAGCCAACGTTTTAACCACTAGGCTACCCCTACGCCCCGACAATGTACTTTGATAAAGACAAGTCTATTATATATTTATATTTCCTAGACCCGTGTAGGTCCTGGCTGTGACCCGTGTAGGTCTTCCTAGACCCGTGTAGGTCTGCAACAGCCCATGCTTGTTGTAAGAGGCGACTGAAGGGATCGGTAGGTCAGGCTCGCTGATTGGTTGATTCATGTCATCTTATCTCCACTGTGTAAATATAGGCTCATGACATCGATCACTAGATTAAACGGTCAAGACTTGAGTATTACATATCTCAGCCAGATATCTGGAGTATTAGCAACAAATAAAACAAATAAACAAAAAAAAAACCCAAACAAACAAAGAGAAACATACGCTGAGTTGTCTCTGGTTCCGTTGTACTAGTTGAGGAATCGGTTACCGAGGATGGCGTTGGACTGTACGATGAATCGACTACCGACGACGCTGTTATGGAATCGGTTACCAAAGTCTCCCGCGAAACTGTTGAGGAATCAATCACCGGCGTGGCTGTCCCCACCGATAAGGAATCGGTTACTGAAGTCTCCACCGGAATTGTTGAGGAATCGACAACCGGCGTCGCTGTCCCAAGCGATAAGGAATCGGTTACCGAGGTCTCCGCCGGAACTGGTGAGGAATCGATAACCGACGTCGTTGTCCTTACCGATAAGGAATCGGTTACCGAAGTCTCCACCGGAACTGTTGAGGAATCGATAACAGGCGTCGCTGTCCCAACCGATAAGGACTCGGTTACCGAGTTATCCGTATAACTAGATGAATAATTGATAACCGTCGATGTTGACGATTTGGAAAAGTCTGTAAGTGACCACAAAAATGCATAATAGTACATGTTACATCATATCATCACAACGGATCTGCATCATCATGACTCCATTTGAAATCACTAAAATTATATACAGAGCAAAAGCCTAAGGAACTGACTATATATATTCTGATTGCGTAGCTATAGGTAGGTCGAACAACCCTGAGTAAACTTGAAATATACAGTAATACATGCCAACTGATTCAGGGAGAGTGAGTGAGTAAGTTAAGTTTCACGCCGCTTTTAGCAATATTCCATCAACATCACGGCGGGGGACACTAGAAATGGGCGTCACACATTGTGCTAATGTGGGGAATCGAACCCCTTCGGCGTGACGACGAACGCCTTAACCACTAGGCTACCCCACCGCCCTGATTCAGGGAGAGGGTGTGTGAGTGCGTTAGATGTAATGCCGCTTTCGTGCTGAAAATTATGAATATTCAATGCGAATGGTAGTTATTGGGCACGCCTTATTAATAACTAAACCTGGAGGGCGGAGTGGAGTGGAGTGGGGTGTAGTGTAGTGGAGTGGAGTGGAGTGGGGTGTAGTGTAGTGGAGTGGAGTGGAGTGGAGTGGAGTGGAGTGGAGTGGAGTGGAGTGGGGTGTGCCATTAGGGAATTCTACCATTTTACAACAACAACGAACACAAACAACATTTATGCTAACAGTAAATAGGGAACAGAGAAGGGTAATAGTAAACAGTGCAGAGTGTAAAGTGAATGGTATATCCTGAATATAGACTAACGCTTAGTCTCTGAATATATATAACTTTCATAGTAACAAATAAACCCATTCAAATTGAAAAGGAGCCCCAGGGTGACCCGAGATTCCTGAACCTGAAGAAATCTAGACTTGCTTAATTTAGAGCTTTAGCATTGCAAGGAGGGCTGGGCTGTATGGAAAATAATATGGTTCAGTGACTGTGAGGCAGTATAATCCTGAATAGGACACAGTGAATAGTGAACAGTTTACCTATTGAACAGCAACACACCAGAAGCACGAAACACAGATCCTTGTAACCGAGCATTGCAGATCTTTCTGGAACCAAAGCAAACTGAGTGAAATATTTTAAACCTTAAACTGATAAATACTACACCCAGTTTACTATAAATAAAGTGTTACAATGTCAGTGGGGGTCATGTTGACACGTAGACGTTAAAACACACACGATAAGATAACGGTATCTTTGACTAACAGAACTGCAAAATGTTTTCTAAATGTGGTTTTCTTGAAGTTACATCGAATGTACGGTTTGGGTGAAAATGTAGGAACTGTCTGTTTAAAACAGTAATTTTGATCAAGAGATTAATGTTTCCCACGTCTTGCCCAGTAGTCTGGGGAGTTGCAAGTCTCCTAAGGGGCAGTAGAGTGAGTGAGTGAGTTTAGTTTTACGCCGCTTTTAGCTATATTCCAGCAATATCGGGGGCCACCAGAAATTAGCTTCACACATTGTACCCATGTGGGTACTCGAACCCGGGTCTTCGGCGTGACGAGCGAGCGCTTTAACCACTAGGTTCCCTGCTGTCCCTACGGCGTAGTAGAAACCTGTGATCGTGAGTTCGAATCCCTGCTTGCTCTGGTTGTGGTTCTAGATTTGTCAGCACCATATTCGTCATCATAGGTCTCACTAAAATTGTGAACACGTTTATTAATAATGTTTCTAGCACTTACTAGAATTTGAAATATCTGCATTCCAATATTGTCAGTATGTATCAGTTACAGGTTTTGAGACATATAATTTGAATAAAAAACAACCATTTATCAGTCCGTTGACAAACGATTGTTTGCAACATTTTCCAGACATAAGATTTGACCATAGGTTTTAGAACTTTACTTAACATTTTAGGCAAAGTGGGTTCTACCAAGTTCGCCATAGAATTCGAACATTGTTAAAGGTGTGCTTTTCTTTAACGGTAAAACCCATCTGAGAAACTGTACATTAACCTTACATTTTTCATTTAGTTCACATGCATTCAGTAGTGATGGTTTTACCATAGCGTCAAAGAGATAGAGTTGGCATTTTAAAGTGAGATTGCGAAATTACCTGAGATAATATACATGTTTTGTTGCTTGGTCACACAGAGTATTAACAGATTTAGAAATTGTTTATTGGTTTGGATATCAAAACCAAGATATCTATATGTATCCACAAAGTCCACATAGTTTTCATTCAAATGCATTTGCTTCTTTTGTCAATTTTGGCACCACCGAAAATAGGAATCTTCGTTTCATCTTTAATTTGCACAATTAACAATATGTTTCAAAATGATTAACTGATGCTTGTAGGTCTAACATATCAGGATTAAAGGAGCCGTGTAGTCCGCATACAGAAGTATAAATAAAACTATGGCAATATCTACAAAACATTGTGTATGATTCTACATCATTCAAGTGCAAGGAAAAAAGGACTGGCGATAAACTGCCTCCTTGTCTAACTCCAACGTTAAAATAACAACGATTCTAAATCTCAGTCGCATACGATATCATCATGCATTGATCTATTAATTCATTTCCCATTAATCCCCGGCCGATGATTTACACCAAAGACCATTTCTCCGTACACAATAAAAAAACCTTTTTATAATCTATAAAACAGCTCAACAATTGCCTCTTTCGTACTTTGAACAACTCGATTAGGCTGTAGAGTGTGAGTGACTTTAGTTTAACGCCGCACTCAGCAATATTCCCGCTATATATCGGCGGTCTGGAAATAATCGAGTCTGGACCAGACAATCCAGTGATCAACAGCATGAGCATCGATCCCGTTAGCCTCTTACGACAAGCATGGGTTACTGAAGATCAGTATTCTAACCCGGATCTTCACGGGTCCTGTAGAGTGTGAACCGTGATCAGTGGTAGAATATTTACTAAATCCCGTTTGTACCTCTGCAAGACTGTTTTCATTTTTAAGGGAAACTGTTTATTCTACACCATAGAATACCATCGAATTATTTACCAAAACGGATAATTAATCTAACAGGATGATAAATTTCCGGACCATGGTTACTCGATTCATGAATTTTGAGACAGTGTTGAATATTTTCAAATATAACTGACAACCCAGCAGTAGATCGATTGGCACTGGTGTTCTACTAGCAACGTATATTACCATCAAAGATAACGTTGTTCTTACCTTCTGACAACAACTCTGTCGTCAGGTATTGGATCAGTGAGCAGGTAGACCAGTTAGACACAGTTTAACACAGATGGAGCCTGTAATGCGTATATCGATCTCCCCATCAAGGTAAATGATATAACATGCGGGTATAAAACACTCACTGGAGGTTTCCGCCCTGGACTGGGCAATATATCATGCAATATGTGTTCTTATATTCTGTCAAAGGTTACACGTTAATATTTATGGCCTTACCTTGAGAGGGTGTTGTTCATGCAACGGTACTTACGTGATGTGAAAGCGATAGCCAATCGACAACGCACACACATATTTTACGCACGTTACCGTTTGAGTAATGCTTGGCGTTATATAAATGAATTATTATCATTGTTATTATTATTAGAGCAGGACATGTTTAACTCTTGGTGTCATCACTTATTTTAGATAATCTATTTATTTAATTGCCATAACTAGATTCACGCCAGACTATTTTTCTGGTGAATTAACGTTTAGATGAAGAAGAGATGTTGTGCTCAGGGTAGTGTAATGTAATTGTGAGTGCCGGGGCATTATCATGTTTGTTCCATGTGTAACTGATACCTATTTACCTCTGTATGAAAATTACCCGGAGTCGTGATGTATACAAGTTGAAGCAATCAATCAATCAAGCAAGCAAGCAAGCAAACCTCCTAGGCGCTCGTTAGCTTAAACTGTCATTTCCTACTTACGTATACGATGAACAATCGGGTTGCCTTCATCACATAACCACTGCAATTGTTTTCCGAAAACGTCCAAGAAATACATGATAAGAATGAGGGGTCAATTAGGTGGTTAAAAAAGTCACGTTACTTCCTTGTTCAGAGGGGTGTTTTCATACGATCCCCCATGAGTCACAGTTTTAATACCCGTGAAGATCCGGGTTAGAGAAGGTCTTCACAACCCTCACATTCTGATAGCCATTCACGAGGACATAATTCATTATCTAGTCGGCTTCGTTCAATTGATTTTCTTTAATCAGAGTTTCCTTGTCTATATGGAAAGGGAAATGGACTTCACACATTGTACCCATGTGGGGAATCGAACCCGGGTTTTCGGCGCGACGAGCGAACGCGAACTCGGCTTCCAAACGCACCCATGTTATGGAAATGGCTTTGGATTATATGCTTCAGTTTCTTATAACATGTTCGAGATTTTCTATCCGAAGTACAATCGACGTAGTGAATCCGGTCAAGCTTTTTATATACTGAGTCAAAAAAGAAACTTCGCAAAATGTAATTTTAAAAATAATGAATAATTTTTCTCTGATGATACATCTATGTATCCGAAATGGGATCCCTATCTTTCGACTCTAGAAAAACGTTAGCAAAACCCACTCAAACCCATCGATTCGTCGTGCAAATGACGTTAGTGCCACGTGCACGTGCAGTCGATCACGTGATCTTCGCATCGAAGTTTTCTTCATATGCACGTGTATGCATTGGCCTCAAGAATTGAAAAAACACTTTTAAACCACAGTTCTAACGGTACTTGAAATGCCACGATTGTCAAATGTGCAACGTGAACGTGCCGTTGGCATGTTGCAAGCGGGAAGATCAGTTATTGACGTCGCAAGAGCAATGGGATGCAGCCGTCGTACTGTGTATGACTTGCGAGGTCGTCTACAACAAACTGGCACCACTTCTGCTGGACATGTAGCCCAGGTCTACATGTCCAGCATGATAATGCTCGGCCGCATATACCGCGATGTTGACACGAAATTTCCTTCAAAACGCTGGAATCAACGTCATGGACTGGCCATCGAGGTCCCCTGACATTAATCCAATAGAGCACGTTTGGGATGCACTTGGGAGAAGGCTTCGTGGTCTTAGGAACCAACCTCAGAATTTGCAGGAACTTGGCGCTGCCTTGCAAGAGCAATGGCACAGAATCCCCACGTGTTCACAAGCATCAGGCAGTCGATGAGGAGACGGTATTTTGCAGTGGTGAATGCGCGGGGCGGCCATACACGATATTGAACTGAGAAATTTCGCATTTTTATTCTTGTGACTTGACATTGGAACGGCGGTGTAGCCTAATGGAACTGATTATGGCACTGTCAGTGTATCGAGTACATCACACAGATCTCAGCAATGAAATAATAACAATTTAACCATATTACCATCTCTTGTTCTTTTATAGTGCCCTGAAGAAAGAATGTGAAGTTTCTTTTTTGACTCAGTATATATTACCTGTAGCTTAGCTTGAACGAGACCACTTTCCTCTCAAGAATTTATTGGCCAATAAACGTTTCCATTGCAATGTTTACGTTTTAACTAATAAAAGCGCAATGTACTTATATGTACATGTATTCGTGACATTTTGATGTCACGGGGCTTTGTTGTAATATCGACACTGTTACTTTATAAAAAAAACTAGAGGAGTTCTATTCATAGTACAGTATATATAGAGTACAGCGTTGCGAATTATAACCATATTATCAAGAGCAGTGCTCACATCATGTAACTACCTGCTTGCCGTCTCAAAAGCTGGCCCTTGAAGTTTTCCTCCTCTACATGATTGTTTCTCCCGGTAGAAATTAATTAAGTCTTACATTTTAATGTGGTATCAGAGAATTAATTCAGAAATATCTTTCTGACACAGATAAAACCATTAGTACTTTTTTACTAAGTTGTAAATCCATTGGGATAAAAGAGTGAAGTGGTTGAACGGCGATTCACACCGTATTTCAGTCCTATCTCAAAGTGTCACGTTATGGCGGACAGAATGCTGGGGTGATTATGTGAGTCGTATTAGTTTAAAACATGTTCAAATTTGATCCCAAATATAAGGATTTGTCACTGCCCCTCAAGCACTGACATAACATTATGTTTTGGTAAGAGTTTAATTGTGTCATGTTTGTGTCATATCAAAATGAAAGGGAGTTTAGCTTTACGCCGCACTCAGTCAATATTCCAGATATAAATAATCGAGTCTGGATCAGGCAATCCAGTGATCAACAACATGAGTATCGATCTACGCAATTGGGATACGGTGACATGTGTCAACCAAGTCAGCGAGCCTGACCTCCCGATCCCGTTAGTCGGCTCTTACGACAAGCATGGGTTACTGAAGATCAATTATAACCTGGATCTTCACGGGTCAGTATGAAACTGTATTTTCGCCATGAAGTCAAAGCTGTTTGGGAATTGTCGATATTTTGTGAATGTCTCTATATATGCTACTAAACACAGCTGAACTTTGCGTCTTCGTATCTAACTCGAAGTCAAACATTTCCGGGTCTGGTCCAGGGTGTTCTCCAGCATAGCTAACCTGTGAAGATCCGGGTTATAACGGGTTCCCAACCCAAACTTCTTGTAAGATTTGGTTGACACGTGTCATCGTATCGCAATGTGCGTGGATCAATGCTCATGCTGTTGATCACTGGGTTGTCTGGTCCAGATTGGATTATTTAGTGTGAGGTGGAGTTTCAAAACATGAGGTGATCAGTCACTGTTTCAACGTTCAGTCGTTTGAGTTCAAAAGCATTGCCTTTCGTATTCAAAGATATTCTTTGTGGAGTTTATAGAATCCCTTTAACCTCTTCGATCATGTTTATCCGTGTAATACCCGTGAAGATCCGGGTTAGAAATTGATCTTCAGTAACCCATGCTTGTCGTAAGAGGCGACTAACGGGATCGGGTGGTCAGGCTCACTGACTTGGTTGACACATGTCATCGGTTCCCAATTGCGCAGATCGATGCTCATGCTGTTGGTCACTGTATTGTCTGGTCCAGACTCGATTATTTACAGACAGCCGCCATATAGCTGGAATATTGCTGAGTGCGACGTAAAACTAAACTCACCCACTCACTCTGATGTCAGTGATGTCGTGAACATATGTTCGGAATAAGAATGTTGATTTGATTTGTAAAACGTTCTCCGATTGAAGTGAGTGAGTTTGGTTTTACGCCGTTTTTAGCAATATTCCAGCAATATCACGGCGGTGGACACCAGAAATGGGCTTCGCACATTGTACCAATGTGAGGAATAGAACCCGGGTCTTCGGTGCGACGAACGAACGCTTTAACCACTAGGCTACCCCACCGCCCCTTTGTGGGGTCCCGACAACAATGTGGAATGGAACCCTGTTGAACAAAACGGCTGTCGTAACACATTAATTTCAGCAAGGACAAAACCATAACTTTGCATCAAATACCTTTACTGAGTATACTTTTTCAAAATGTTTTTATTGTTCGCAAGAGTACATCGTTACACAGCAATTCACATTTTCAGAGTTTGACTCACAGAATACAAAAATACATACCATTAGTGATAGATAGATAGCCAATTTTTCATAATTATGAAGGCTATTATCTTTAATTGCAATGAATTCTTCAACATTGAAATGGCTGTCAAAATAACCAAATACCTTTAAAGGTCTGGAGCATGTTGTTTAATCCCGCAAATGGATATAATTTTGGCAGATATGATAATATGATTCATTAATCCATCAATGTATAATGTTTCAAACCAAACAAGGTATTTTGTTATTTTAATTGTGTTCTGTATATGATTGTTCATCCAAACATCAAGTTTATTCCAGAATGTTGTCTTTCTCTACATTCCCAATACACATGACAAGTACTCTCATTCAGCTCATTACAAAAACAAATATATTTTTTATACTTATTGTTGACATTCTTTGCTTGACTAGGTGTATAATAAACAACGGAATACACAAATGAAGCAACCCACACAAACATTACACACTGGTTACACATAACACGATCACAGCGAAGAACGAATCATTGTTTAATATTACAATTCAAGGAATTCTTTATGATCTTAAAATCAAACATCGACAATACTTCCCGGGTATTTTACACCACGTGCTCTTCCATAACGGCAAATTCGCAATGCCGTCCCCATTTGAGAAAGAAGCATAATGCTTGCATGACCTGGGAAGTACTGACCTTGACAGTTAAAACGGTTCTTTATTGCAACAAGGGAATCCATTAAAACAGCATAATATAGTTATTTATCATTCGAAGTTATGTACAGTTTCGCAAATTCTTGGGTTCGTTGTGTGCTAAATATCACTTTGCAGTATATCAGAAGCATTCCTTCAAACGTGAGTACTAGATGTTTACATTTGTTGTGGATATATTCATTTACATGTACATTTGGTGCTTATTTGCATTGTATTGTTATTAACATATTGTTTATTCATATAGGTCCTGCATATAGGTCAGTTGCATACATTACTGTTTAAAAGAATAGTTTATGTATGTATGTATGTATGTATGTATGTATGCATGCATTTATGCATGTATGTATGTATGCATGCATATATATATGCATGCCCTATTTGAATCCATGAGATTAGATGCTTTAATAAGCTTCCTTTTCTGATTTTAGCCAGCTAACCATCCCGGCATAATCTGTGTATTATATCGCCACTGTGTAAGATGCTCAACTCAATTGCGGAAAATCATCATTCCCGGAGTGACGTCATCTCTTATGACATGTCTACCACAGAATGTCTATCGCTCTTGTGTGTAATCTGATTGGACCGCTATTGATAACGTCTTGTAGCTGGGTTTCAAAGCGAAGGGCCGAGGGTATATTCTGTTATTTAATAGAGAGATACACTTGATTATCGATCACATCCAGATGTTTGTCATCTTAATGTGGATGATCATACATTCAGAGAGGCAAATTATATCTGTACAACAAACTATGAGTAAGTTACATAAAGCATATATATTGACAAGAGATGGCTGTAGTTGGCTTTGATGAAGGAGAATATATATAAAATGATATCAAGAAGCAGGGAACATTTTGGAGGAGCTCTTTCCTTTATATTTTTTTTTGGGAAAATTATTGTTTCTATACATAGGAGATATGTCTATATACATATTATATTCATATTAAACTGACTTATAAGATGTGTGATCTTGTCTATACTCTCATAATTCTCGTTTCGTTAGTTGAAGCGTTTATGCTATTTTTCTAATGATCAAGTTCCCATTCGTGGAGTTACAAATTGTTAAACACGAGTTATCTCCCTTACATTGGGAAAACATCCATACATTCAGTATTGTAGGTTCTAGTTTTTGTTTACGTTTACCATGACTTAAACTGTAAGACGACAGACAAGACAAACCAGCGATCAGTTTCATGGTCGGTGTTCAATTACATACAATCAACAATATCAGCGAGAACGACCTCCCGATCCAATTAATTAGCCCCTATATATATGCATGCCCTATTTGAATCCATGAGATTGGATGCTTTAATAAGCTTCCTTTTCTAATTTTAGCCAGTTAACCATCCCGGCATAATCTGTGTATTATATCGCCACTGTGTAAGATGCTCAACTCAATTGCGGAAAATCATCATTCCCGGAGTGACGTCATCTCTTATGACATGTCTACCACAGAATGTCTATCGCTCTTGTGTGTAATCTGATTGGACCGCTATTGATAACGTCTTGTAGCTGGGTTTCAAAGCGAAGGGCCGAGGGTATATTCTGTTATTTAATAGAGAGATACACTTGATTATCGATCACATCCAGATGTTTGTCATCTTAATGTGGATGATCATACATTCAGAGAGGCAAATGATAGCTGTACAACAAACTATGAGTAAGTTACTTAAAGCATATATATTGACAAGAGATGGCTGTAGTTGGCTTTGATGAAGGAGAATATATATAAAATGATATCAAGAAGCAGGGAACATTTTGGAGGAGCTCTTTCCTGTTATAATATTTTTGGGAAAATTATTGTTTCTATACATAGGAGATATGTCTATATACATATTATATTCATATTAAACTGACTTATAAGATGTGTGATCTTGTCTATACTACTCATAATTCTCGTTTCGTTAGTTGAAGCGTTTATGCTATTTTTCTAATGATCAAGTTCCCATTCGTGGAGTTACAAATTGTTAAACACGAGTTATCTCCCTTACATTGGGAAAACATCCATACATTCAGTATTGTAGGTTCTAGTTTTTGTTTACGTTTACCATGACTTAAACTGTAAGACGACAGACAAGACAAACCAGCGATCAGTTTCATGGTCGGTGTTCAATTACATACAATCAACAATATCAGCAAGAACGACCTCCCGATCCAATAATTTAGCCCCTATGTTTGCTAGGGAATAATCGTTTGATGAACAATAGTTTTGCTGCATTCCTCTGCGCATTTCTCAAGTTGTGTTCGAAGGCGAGGTCATCCGGAATATATCTTTGTCTGAATTATCCTCACATTTGGTGTAATTTGGCCTGGAAACATGAACAATTCATCGAATTTAACAATGGCATTGTGACAGACACATTACAATATATATAACAACAAAAATAAAAACAATAACAGTTAAACAACAAAAACAAGAACACAAGAACACCAGACATATTATTCGAGTCAGAAGATATATTGATCTTATTTTATCGCATACTGATCACATGGAAGCATTCTATGGATTAATTCTCAGTGTGCAAGTTTTCAACGATGCTATTTTGTCGATGGGGTAGCCGACTCCCACTCGTCACGCTGAAAACCAGGGTTCGATTCCCCACATGGGTACAATGTGTGAAGCCATTTCTGGTGTCTACTGCCGTGATGTTGCTGGAATATTGCTAGAGACAGCGTGAAGTCAGACTCACTCACTCGTATTGTTGCTTTCACTGAGGTATGTTCTTACCGTTAGTGTATTGTTGACCATCTTGTTAGCGATAGTTCGGTCTCCTGAGGGCATACTGTAATGTATCAACAGGTAACGAAAGTCAGAGAGGAATAATACATTTCGTCAATTGAATACAATTTATTGTACTATAAAGACATACATTATGCTGGAATATTGCTGAATGCCTCGTTTAACAGCAAACAGAAAAAAACAAATCCCCCCCAAAACAACCCTAACAAAACAACAACTTAAGAACGACAATAACAAACCCCCACCCCCACTCACCCCCAAACACAAAACAAAACCCCAACAACAACAAAAAACCAAAACCAAAACGTTTTAATCGTAGTGTACTATTCAGAGTACCCTGGTTGTGCCTCACCGGTGGGGTAGCCTAGTGGTTACAGCGTTCGTTCGTCACGCCGAAGACCGTGGTTCGATTCCCCACATGGGTACACTGTGTGAAGCCCATCTATGGTGTCCCCCGCTGTGATAAAAGCGGCGTAAAACTAAACTCACTCGCTCACTCACCGGTTCGTCCGTGTCAATGTGTTCGTACACATTGCCGCCTTGGCTGTAGCTGTTACTCAGCAGACTGGACTGTGGTCTGGATGGCGGCTGATCACCGGGCATCCGGGTGTAGGGGTTCTCCCTGCTCTGGTCCCGAGGGTGGGGAATTATCTGGCGCTTGTCATCTTGGTCGTAATCAGGAGGCACATCCTCGGGGGAGGAATACTGGGAGGTCCCAAGGCCAGATGTCCGCACACCCCTGCCTGGGAATACAAATAAATGACGCTGGCTTAAATTTTCTGTTTGCGGTAATGAACAAGTCAAAACATTGACTACACAGCAGTTTCGTTTCCTGCTGACTGGGTTCCGTCCTATTGCGCATCTTAGTACAATAACCAGTCCAGAATTTTGAGACCAACTCATTCAAGTGGATCTATAGATATTAATCAGGATTATTTAATACGTCTAATCACTTGTATATTGCAACACCATGCTCCTTCTAACCCTTGCAAACACGTCGTGCTGCGTGCTTTCTCGTATAGCGTGCTATGACAAACATAAATCTGGAAATCGTGGAAATCTCTAAACGAGGCTCGGTCGCTAGAAAAGTTTGGCGGTCTGGTACGGACTTGATATTATATCAATCACATTGTACGTTACAAAAATACATTTAATGAGCAAAAGACACATAACAGGTGTAATCAGTGAGCCAGATGAATTGTGAATCATTGTACGACCTATTCAAACAGGGGCAGTCTGTGACGTCTTTGTTAACGACATGGTGCCTAAACCTCGACATAAAATATAGAAATACGATTTTATTAAACTTTAAAATAACATTAATTTGTAAACACCAATTTCGTATGAAGCAAGGAATTTGAATTCAGTGTAACCATAGTTGTTTGTGGTGTCTCTTTTCACTTTCACACGAGAAAATTCGGATCGGCTGAAAATTATGTCATTGTCTGAATTGGGTAATGGGACTAATGTTTCGGTTTGAGTTGTAGCATTGATTTGCCCTGCCTGACAATGCAAATAAATGATGATGGCTTTAATTTACTGTTTGCCGTAATGATATTTGTAGCCTTGATTTTCCCGCCTGACAATGCAAGTAAATGATGCATTGATTTGTCTTGTCTTAAAATACAATGGAGTATTGCCGAATTTATCATAGTTTCCTCTAAGGAGATTTCGAGCATTGATTTACTGAAAAAACAGCTTCACTGACACGAAAATCCAATATCTCCTCCTCTGAAGAAATATATACGAATTCAGCCTTTAACACATGCGTTATTTAATTACACTTGATGTAACAACCTTTTGGCTGTATTTTTGGCTGTTCGGGGCAGGCTGACCAGGGATCTGACTACCGCATCTGAACAGTTTACTGGCATGGATACGAGTATCACAGGCATAGTATGTTAGTTTCTGCTGTTTAGTCTAGTGTTGCCAGGGACTATGCGTTGTCCGTCTAGAGTTTTCACAGTTGTGCGCAAGGGTTATGTTTGGTTGCAAATGTTGTATTTTTGAAACTTCCACACTTAGGCACTATGTTGACCATTATCAGCTCCATCTAAAATGTTCCAAATATACAGTTCCCATATGTTGTTTCGTCACTTGTGAAAGGACCTTTTGTACTTTTGTACCAGTAGTTTATGGATAATTACCAAATTGTTAGGGAAGAGGAGGCACTCTAAGTATTCCCTTATCCCGGTCAGTGTAACATTGGTTTAATGCTTATTGAAATTTTATGCCTCATTCCTGCATTAACTCGGTGCGCCTAGTAGGCAGCAAGAGCAAGAGATTGAAAAATACGATGTGCCGTTGTGATGGATATCCAATGATCGAGGGAAAACAAAGCGCCTTTGAGCAGTTGTACTGGATATCGGCGCTATACAAATGTATGTATGTAGGTAGGTAGGTATGTAGGTATGTAGGTATGTATGTATGTATGTATGTAGGTAGGTAGGTAGGTAGGTAGGTATTAGCCAGATATCGGTAATGTCTTGTGAGCCTGCATTTTTTAAAACACGCGTGTATGATACTATTCAAGCTTAGTCAAGTTAGTGTGTCTTTGCTGGCATAATATCATGCAAGCATATAGGAAACTCAGAATTGTCTATTGTAGGTCACTGTCTTCAACAGGTTCGAGATCTACACTCTCTAATACACAACTGCAATCTGTCTTTTTCAGGAATGGCACGATTCTATTATGTACATATAATTTAACTTTACAGGTAACCTCAACACCTGAGATTGTTGAAGCAATGGGCACTCCAGAGAACCCCATGCTGGTCGTCCATGATGTGTAATGTACGTGATGTCAGTAACATTGCTCCAAGATGCCCTGTAGAGTTGTCAGAGGAAATCATTTTGTCAATAGTGTTGCCAGATGTTAGGTTGACAACACATATATAGGAATTTTGCGATTCTCTTTCATTTATTTGGATATCAAAATAAGACTTTCTGCAAAACCAAAAGTCAAACCTCAATGGTCTAAAGTTGAAAACAAATTTGCACAAAACAGTATATTGTTAGATCTATTTCAAATGTATCATCTCTGTGATATATAGTGCATCTTTTTCAGGTGACATTTTCAGGCCAGTACTACACTGTGATGTGTGACTTACCAGCTTCATTGGTGCACTTTATATGCTGTGTGCTGCTTTCTATGTGTTTAACATAGACTACTAGACTGCTGCCTCACTCGAGTTCATAGAGAGGTAATGATACGTGTATCTTAACAGACTGTTGAATTGTTGGCGGCAGATAGAACTTGTGAAGTATTGGTAGTCGGGTTAAAAAACCCTCAAAGGCAAGAGCAGCATGCGCAGTTCTGCATATTCACCTTAAATTGTTGTACAGAGCTATGTCCCCTAAAAGCCATGTTCTACTTATCATGGTTTGGAAGCCTAGATTCACTGATAATATCCTTGTCCTGTCTGCTTGTAGGTGTTAAACGTTTATGTAACCTGTCTCATTGACACACACACCCACCCCCAGTATCAAGCTGAAGGAATGATTGCAGATTTTCTGTTTTTCCTAACAATGTAATTTAGTTCACTTAGTCCTATTACCATGACCGAGATGTGAAAAGCTTTAACGACTTTTTAATACTGCAGAAACAATGATTCAATGTCATTTCTTCAATGTCCAGATGATTCGTCCACATTAATCCAGACAGGCGATTAAAAGGTTGCAAGGGAAAAAAGAAGACAGTCATGAGTGTGAAAGTTCTCAAGCTCATCAATGAACTTGCCGGTTTTGAATGGATCGAGGTCTGAGTGGCCAAAGTCTTTTGTTAACATATCCTGTAATAATGATAGATCTTGTCGGTTGACATTAAGGGTCTGGCTAGCTATTCTCGAAACGTTCGTAGCCCTACGAACTTCTTAAGCCCATTCTTAACACATTGGCTACGATCAAAGTTAAGAATTCTTAGGGCTACGAACGTTCCGAGAATAGCTAGCCAGGTCATACAAAGTAGGGGCTGCGGTGGTGGGGGTGGATGTCCGCGAAGTGGATAAAAAAGTGCAGTTGATACGAGGAGAGCCAATAAAATGGCTCAGGTTAAATTTTGTTTCGTTTTCCTTCAATTTGATCATAATTTGGGGACTGTCATGTCATGTTGGATGGGGGCTTAAGGGGGAGGAATTGGATCATAAAAACAGTTACGTGACTTGGGGGTGGGGTGGGGTGGGGGTGATACATTTTATATACAAAGGCAGACTTAATAGCTGGAGAAGAAATACATATAATTTCTTGTTCATTATTTTTTGGGGGCGGTGGGGTAGCCTAATGGTTAAACCGTTGGCTCGTCACGCCGAAGACCCGGGTTCGAATCCCCACATGGGCACAATGTGTGAAGCCCATTTCTGGTGTCCCCGCCGTGATGTTGCTGAAATATTGCTAAAAGCGGCGTAAAACCAAACTCAGTCAGTCAGTCAGACATGTTTTATTTTTTTATTACACTTTACCTAAGTCGGCCATGAACCGTTGCTTTCATCTTTCACCAAATGAAAGCATATGCATGGGTCATTCTCCAGTTATATTCTTTAATATTTTAGCGATGTCAACCACCATAAATGAACCACCCAAGATGAACTACTTTCAGCTGGTGAGTAATGCATTACCTACAGTGACTTGTCTGTCCTATGCTTGGACTCAGATGTATTTCTTGTTTGAATAAAATTGCTTAAAACGTCCTTTGAGTCTTCTTTTGTTGACAAAGATATGGATCAGGTTGCAGCATCTTATTACAGAGGTTGGATGGAATTAGGTTGAGGTTGGGTCGAGTTATATATATTTTGAATTCACCATACATATTCTGATAGTAAAGTTTAAAAGTAAGTAGAAATACAGGAAGATGCAGAGCTCATTTTACGGTAATTATTACAGTAGTGTACTGTTATATTTTACGGTAAATACTATTACAGATTGTTGTTACTTTTACGGTATACCGTGTTTTTTACGGTATAAAATTGGCAAGCCCAGCTGCCAGTAGTTTACCGTAAAAAAATACGGGAAAGGTTTACAGTGAACCTGTTAACATATCTATCTAACCATTTCATTTATCACAGATGCTCTATTGAAATCCAAATTGGGTAATGTTTGTGGAATTCTTTCTTTTCCATAATCATTAATTGGAGACAGAAGGATAACAAACCAAACATGGGGTCGGGTTCCATATTGGCATTGTCTCCTCGTCTGTCGTCACCATGGCTACGTCCCCAGTTGCCGCTGTAGTTGGGTGCCCGGAAGTCGTTCTCTCCTCTTCTACCACTTGACTCGTGTTCTGATCTTTCCTTATGCATCAGCCACTGGTATGAAGAAATAACCCTGTTTATACATCTAGACAATATTTAGACTCATTAATAAAGATGAAAAAAAGTCAATAATATAATACGGACAATTGATGAGCATTAATCACATGAATTAAGCATATCTTGTCCAACACAAGCTCGTGAAAAACACACGCGAAGTCAAGTCAACTATTTACTGGAAGAGATATGGGAACTGGTTACCCACATGGGTACAATGTAAAGCCCATTTCTGGTGTCCACCAACGTGATATTGCTGGAATATTGCTGAAAGCGACATGAAACCATACTCACTCACGCGAAGATTACACGACAATGCCTCAAATGTCCTCTCCGCCTCGTCCTGTACAAACCTACCTCCTCGTATCCTCGTCCCTCGTCCTTCCGACCGGTGTACCGATACTCGTCCTTGATGTCCGCACCGTAGTTGAACTGACCAGGCTGTCTGTGGCTGTAGATATCTCGCTCCATCCGCTCCGACAGAGCTACTTCGTCTTCGTTTGCCCTGTATTTGATATGGTGTATAATGAGCATTCGTAACTACTCGTGTCATCCGGCAAGCCGGATGGCGCCTCGTACCCTTCTCGTGGCCATGGTTACGACTAGGCCCTGTCTAAGCGCAAACGGACAGGGAGATGAAAATAGTCTAGTACTAGTACCTCTGCATTTCCAACCATGGCAGAATATCCTATAGCTACATCCCGTGGACAAAACAACTATACAGTCATTCCCTTTGTATGTATGTTTCTGTGTTGAACGTTTCTGATCCTTTAGCTCAAAGTTTATGTTTAAATTGTGCTTTGCTTAGTAAGCCTAGTTTCAAAATTCAACGGTGCCGCCATTTTATGCTTCGAAATGCGTTTTACTACGCGCTATTTGATTGGCTTGCCACGATTCTTGGCAATAATGGCGTACGATAGGGGTACGAGTCTTCTTGTAGGTCACGGAAAGAGGCGAGTAGTTACGAATGGTATAATGAGAAGTGACGTGTCACGCTTAAACGGACGTTTCATGGCATGTTTATATATTGATGGTACCTTTGTGCAGAAATTAATTTCCCGGTTGTCATGTTGGAGTTTCTGAAGACAAATAAGTAGTATAAACAGTGTTTCAGCGCCATTCAAAGCCAGTGTACGTTAACTCGGTTTCACTCTCTATGAAAAGGGGCGGTGGGGTAACCTAGTGGTTAAAGCGTTGGCTCGTCACGCCGATGACCCAGGTTGAATTCCCCACCTATTCGATTCTGGACCAGACTTACGGTATCCTCGGGGAAATGAATACCATTTCACCTCAAACAAACATTGAAGTTAGTCAGTGAGTCTAGTTTTACGCCGCTTTTAGCAATATTCCCGCATTATCCAGCGGTGGAAAACAAAAATGTGCTAAATACATATTGTACCCATGTGGGGAATTGCTGATAATAATAAGTATATATTAATTCATCAGTCTAGGTCTCTATTTATAGGGGAACCATACTGGGGAGTCCATTGCACGAACTATATAACTCTGAAAATGGTAGACAACGCTTATTATGTGTGTCTATGTAAGATATGGGGAATGGTGGGCGAGCTGTCTGAGGCGCCAGGCTAGTGAATCAACGAGCTTGAGGTGACCGGGTGTAAAAACCTGGAGTCAACTTTGTGTGCAGACTCTTTCAGTGTTGTCACAACCCCTAGTGTACAGTATACAACCCTGTGCACTTAAAAGAACCCGCGAATCCGTTGGTAAATAACCAGATGGTGGCCACATGAATATGTGCAAACACCTAGTTGCGGGTACAGCAACGTGTAGTAAACTGTGACAAAGTACTGTGACTATATGTCCCAGTCCACCCAGCTGTGAATTTTGGAACATTTTAAAACGCTCTTTTCGAAGAAAAAACGAACATTTTCCAATATCAGCTGATGTTTTTATTTACTATTTTAAATCACTTTTAAATCCTAATAAGCCTAAAGAAGATGAAGCATTTGATTCCCACGTTAATTATTTCATAGCTGAACATTCTTGTGATGATTGTTCCTCTCCGCCTCGTCCTGTACAAACCTACCTCCTCATATCCTCGTCCCTCGTCCTTCCGACCGGTATACCGATACTCGTCCTTGATGTCCGCACCGTAGTTGAACTGACCAGGCTGTCTGTGGCTGTAGATATCTCGCTCCATCCGCTCCGACAGAGCTACTTCGTCTTCGTTTGCCCTGTATTTGATATGGTGTAGAATGAGCATTCGTAACTACTCGTGTCATCCGGCAAGCCTGATGGCGCCTCGTACCCTTCTCGTGGCCATGGTTACGACTAGGCCCTGTCTAAGCGCAAACGGACAGGGAGATGAAAATAGTCTAGTACTAGTACCTCTGCATGTCCAACCATGGCAGAATATCCTATATAGCTATATCCCGTGGACAAAACAACTATACAGTCATTCCCTTTGTAAGTATGTTTCTGTGTTGAAAGTTTCTGATCCTTTAGCTCAAAGTTTATGTTTAAAGTGTGCTTTGGATAGTTAGCGAAGTTTCAAAGTTCAACGGTGCCGCCATTTTCATGCTTCGAAATGCGTTTTACTACGAGCTATTTGATATACGATTCTTGGCAATAATGGCGTACGATAGGGGGTACAAGACTTCTTGTAGGTCACGGAAAGAGGCGAGTAGTTACAAATGGTATAATGAGAAGTGACGTGTCAGACTCAAAAGGACGTTTCATGGCATGTTTATACATTGATGGTACCTTTGTGCAGAAATTTATTTCCCGGTTGTCATGTTGGAGTTTCTGAAGACAAATGAGTAGTATAAACAGTGTTTGAGCGCCATTCAAAGCCAGTGTACTTTAACTCGGTTTCACTCTCTATGAAAAGGGGCGGCGGGGTAGCCTAGTCGTTAAAGCGTTGGCTCGTCACGCCGATGACCCAGGTTCAATTCCCCCACATATTCGAGTCTGGACCAGACAATCCAGCGATCAACATTACGAGTATCGTTCTACGCAATAGGGATACGATGACATGTGTCAACCAAATTAGCGAGCCTGACCACATGATACCATTAGTCGACTCTTACTACAGGCATGGGTAGCTGAAGACCAATGCAACCCCTGATCTTCACGGGTTCCCCAATTAACTCATTTTGCGAGGTAATCAACAACAAACCCCATCGTGAGGTTTTGGACAACGCGATGACGTGTTGTGTGACGTCCCACAAGACATGTTTGCGTGGACAACGACTCTATCAGCAACACTGACCTACGGTATCCTCGGGGAAATGAATACCACTTCACCTCAAACTACCATTGAAATTAGTGAGTGAGTCTAGTTTTATGCCGCTTTTAGCAATATTCCCGCATCATCCAGCGGAGGAAACCAAAAATGGGCTAAATACATATTGTACCCATGTGGGGCATTGCTGATAATAATAAATATATATTAATTCATCAGTCTAGGTCTCTATTTATAGCGCTCCGACTTAGGGGAACCATCCTGGGGAGTCCATTGCACGAACTATATAACTCTGAAAATGGTAGACAACGCTTATTATGTATGTCTATGTAAGCTGTGGGGAATGGTGGGCGAGCTGTCTGAGGCGCCAGGCTAGTGATTCAACGAGCTTGAAAACCTGGAGTCAACTTTGTGTGCAGACTCTTTCAGTGTTGTCACAACCCGTAGTGTACAGTACACAACCCTGTGCACTTAAAAGAACCCACGAATCCGTTGGTATATGACCAGATGGTGGCCACATGAATACATGCAAACACCTAGTTGCGGGTACAGCAACGTGCAGTGAACTTGGACACAGTACTGTGACTATGTGTCCCAGTCCACCCAGCTGTGAATGGGTACCTCATTAGGATGAGAAAGTGACATTAACTCGGTGCGCCTAGTGGCTGCAAGAGGTCTATGATCACCAGGGAGTTGAGATTGATAATACGATGTGCTATTGACATTAACATCCAATGATCGAGGGGAAAAAACAGCGTCTGTACTAGCTGCGTGGATATGTGCGCTATATAATTATCCTATAATTAGATATATTTTCTTGCTTTTATCATATATTTCTGGTCGGGGAATCCGCTCCTCAACCTGAAGGTCAGGCTTCGAATCTTTTGGGTTAGGAGTGGTTGGTTGTTTTGTGGTCGGGGATGGGGTGGAGTGGAGCGGAGTAGAGTTTGAAGCCCGATAGGATTACAGAATGAAGATATTTAGAACTTTGATGAAACCATAGGTTTGGTGCTGACAAATCGTGAACCATGAACAGGGATTCGAACAAATGTCGCAATACGTACATATCCTTCTCAGGATTCTTCCCCCTTTCTTCTTGAACAGCACATGCAACCTAGGGCAATGGAGAGCAGCAGGATCGCTCCTCCCCCCACTCCACCAGCTATGCCAGCGATGTCCCCCCGTGCCCATGGACATTCGTGTTCCCTGTACGTCGCATTTGTCACCACCGTACACGACATCGTCCGATGAATTGCATCTGAAAACATGTACCTTATACGTATAATCTATAACAAGGTATATATATAAGAATATAAGTGTGCTTTGTCTAAATAGCTGGTTGTGATTATGTCGTTTAATATAGTTCTATTTTGATTGTAACACTAATTTGAATCTATCTACCCTTACATGATGTGTAACTTCATTTCAAATGATAAACCTTACTACATGTAGGCAGTTCCCGACTTTGGATGGAAGATGGACATAGTTTCTCAATTGTCGTGTACACTCTTGAAAACGAAAAACAGAAAAAGACCTTTGTTTAACCCGCTGTTCCGATTATTTATTGAACTCTATCCAAGTATTATAATTGGATTTTACGCCACCTTTAGTAATATTTCAGCAATATCACGGCGGGGGACTCCAGAAATGGGCTTCACAAATTGTGCCCATGTGGAGACTCGAACCCGAGCAAACGCTTTAACCACTAAGGTACCCCACCGCCCCTTGTTATAGTTGAATGGTTGTACGTCGTGATCGATAAAGAAATAATAATCCCAGACATTCCTATTAATCGTATTTTACAGTAAAATTCCGCACAGTACTTAATAGCATAACAAGGCCAACAGAAATAATTATTTTATAAGTAGTTGAATGAATACAAATATCCAAGAAAATGATAGCTTAGTTACCAATTTGAACAAGAGATGCTAGTATTTGCTATGCTTGAATATTATTTAGCCTCACTCAGCAATGTCCAGTTATATCACAGTGACCTGCAAAAATGGAATCCGGACCAGGCAAACCAGTGGTCGATAGGATGAGCAACGATCCACACTGTGTCGGTTATTTCGACAAGCATGGCGCACGGGGATTCCGTTTGAATCCAGAGTATTCACAGGTGTATTTGTATTCTTTGTGTATTTAACGTCGTTTTCAGAGATACTGCAGGTATGTGAGGGCTAGGTGTTGTTATGGGGAACTACGTACTTGCATGTAGGTTTTCCATCCGTGTTGACGTAACAAGTACCCCGGTGACAGTCAACCGGTGTACATGGAGATTGACATGTCGTACTTGAAGTGTTGCCATTTTTACACGTAAAACCTTTGAGGCATATACCTCCAGCTTTGCAATTATCTTTAATAGTGTCCAAGACTGAAATAGACAATATTAACATGTATGAAAGAGTTCAATGCATCTCTCTCTCTCTCTCTCTCTTTCTCTCTCTCTCTCTCTCTCGCTCTCTCTCTCGCTCACTCTCTCTCAAGAAATTGATCTCCAAGGTACTAAAGCAAAGGAAACATCACACCATTTCAAAAGATCAGTATATTCTAACTAATTGAAATTATAAAAAAAACGTTCTTTTTAAAATTATTCAGAAATATATATCACTAATACATGTAGTTAATTGCTTTTGTATTTACAGTTCAGATCAAATTAGGAGTGACAGTAATTTTTAAGTATCACCAAGAATGGTCGGGATAACGTTGGTAGAGTGTGTGAGTGAATGTAGTTTTACACAGCTTTCAGCAGTATTCCACCAATATCAAGGCGGGGGACACTAGAAATGGGTTTCACACATTGTATTCATGTGGGGAATCCAACCCGGGTTTTCGGTGTGACGAGCTAATGCTTTAATCACTAGACTACCCCACCGCCCCTCGTGGAATAGGTAGGTCTTGTTGGTGAGATCAGATGAGAAGGTACACCAGAAAGACAGTATGGTGTAGAAGAAAAAAACCTACGTGATTTGAAGCCGATGTCGTTGAGTTCCACGGGTCGGTTGAAAATGGTCAAGATATTCATCTTTGTTTGGATTATCCTATATAAATCTTCTTTACCGTTTTCTGCATCAGGCTTGATGATTACCTTGTGATGGACAATAATGGACCCTTCACTGTAAAATATGTATTTTCTGTGTCACGTAAGCATTGGTATAAAACATATTGTCAATACAAGTATCAAAACTTGTTCTCAAACCTCACGGTAACCAAGAATAACTCAATGGTGGGTGTTATTTATACCTGGGGCGTGTAGATGAAAGTGTTAATCACACGGAGATAGCCTATGTCCTAAACATGTCAACTGTCAGGTTACCTGTATTGACGAATAGGATACCAACTACACCGTCTCTCCGGCTCCCAGTTCAGAATTAGTAGAGCCAACGAACACTGACAGCACTTGGTACATAATGTCACAACCACACCGGACCTTCCTTGGAATCATCATATATAAATAAACGAAAGAAACCGGTATTTTTACCGACGGCAGAAGGCAGAGAGGCGTACCCATACATGTTTACTCCGCAGTGAAGGACGTTGTAAGAAATCAAATGCGATACTTACGAGAACCCAGTTACTTCGACATACAAGAACCCAGGTATGTTTTCGTACACTGGCATCATCTAGAACAAAAGTATAATGTATAGAAGAATCTACCAAACAATGTTTTCAACCAGAAATAATGAGGGACTGGCCCAAACTACAGAGGCGTCCCAGATAGCTTTCCGACGGTGGCCCAACGTTGACAATGGTTGGCAACGTCGCAGTCGGATTTCGTACGTTGGCCCGACGTTGGCCCAACGTCGGGTAGCATCGCGGAAATTTTATTCAAGGGACGCTACTCTTAACTGTTAGCTTTTCCTTGAATACGCTGTTGTTCTTCGAGCAGACGACGCGACATGATCACAATCTGGGCCATCGGTGTAAAGGTTTCCTCGAATATATTTGCGGTAAGTGTTTCATTACGTGTGTTTATTATGCTCAGCTTTATTCCTGAACTGTGTCCACTGAAAAACAGTCATGTTTCTTTCAGAAATGCCAACATGAATAAGTTTTTTCTTGAAATTGAAAACACTAAGGCGTACATTTACCATACATAGAAAAAAATAAAGCAGGTATTTATGAATATTACTTGCAGTGACATAAACACAATGTTCCCCTGCTGAGAATAAAATGACCTTGAACTAGATGACAATGAATATAACATTTAAGGGTGGTGTTCAGCGATTAAGTGTATTTTGTAGGTACCATTACATATCCTCGATATCTCAGTTCATTTGCTGATATCCGTGAACCGTTTCTATTATCCATGGGCTGAGTGAGTGAGTTTCGTTTTACGCCGCACTCAGCAATATTATAGCTATATGGCGGCGGTCTGTAAATAAATCGAGTCTGGACCAGACAATCCAATCATCAACAGCATGAGCATCGTCCTGCGCAATTGGGAACCGATGACATGTGTCAACCAAGTCAGCAAGCCTGACCCCCGATCCCGTTTGTCGCCTCTTACGACAAGCATGGGTTACTGAAGATCAATATTCTAACCCCGATCTTCACGGGTAGACAAGCGAGGAACACAATAGGACTTATTACAAAAGTTATATATATGATTATCAACTGAGTCAGTATTTGTCTAGCGTATGATGAATGATATAGTCATCAACGGGACTAGGATGGTACTTCCCATTAGTACTCTCAGAATCTTTTTCGCTCTCCATGAAATGTTTCAGTTGGAAGATAAATCATATGTTATAGAATAGATTCCTGAAGATGTCGCAAGGACTGATGTGCTTACAAGTAACGCACAAAAGCTAGGGGTGAAACGGTATAACGCGGTATTTTGCCTTCGGTTCGGTATATCGTAATGCAATCCAAATATTTTCGGTTTTTGTACGGTCATTTCTACCCAATCACAAAAAGGACACTCAGTTTTGTTCATGCAAAATAACAAAGATTATGGTTATTTTTTCAATCTCTTGTCAATATTATGCATTTTCATCATATCTCACATACCGAAACGAAAGGACGGACCGAACCGAAAGCCTTGTACCACGATACGTAACGTACAGTGGTAAGAGCGTACAGTTTCACCCCCAACATAAGCTGAAGATGTCGCAAAGACTGATGTGCTTAAAACTGACGTACAAAAACTGAAGATGTCGCAAAGACTGATGTGCTTAAAACTGACGTACAAAAACTGAAGATGTCGCAAAAACTGATGTGCTTAAAACTGACGTACAAAAGAAAGTACACACCTGGGATTACTTTCAGGAAACCAAATACACAACATTTGGGACTTCTAAGTCACAATCGAACACTTTATAAACTATTCACTGTTTTGTGTGTACTTTTATACTTCAGTGTATTTGTATTCAGCGAAGAAGAAAAACGTAATGTTTCGACTGACTGACTGACTGAGTTTAGTTTTACGCCGCTTTTAGCAATATTCCAGCAATATCACGGCGGGGGACACCAGAAATGGGCTTAACACATTGTGCCCATGTGGGAAATCGAACCCGGGCCTTCGGCGTGACGAGCCAACGCTTTAACCACTAGGCTACCCCACCGCGTAATGTTTCGAGGATTAGCCCACTCTTATCTAACACAATCAGTTTCTTACATTTGTTGCTCTATTATAATGATTCTACAAAACGTCTGATGGAGGCCATGTATATGGCCCTGACAATGCAATATATACTCAGCGGCAAAACTTGTTTCAATGGTAATCTTGTGAGTGAAGTTTTCACTCAATGCAGTTTAAAGTGTGGAAGTCAGGAAAGAACTATTCAGCGTTCTGAAAGAAGTTCGACATGCCACGCCTTAGAGAAGATGACAGATGGAGATCTACATGAGATTTACAGTATGCTACAGTCTGGTACAACGCAGCGTGCTGTTGCTCGTCGATCCAACGTCCATCGAAACACATATTGGCACTGGTGGTGACGTTTGCAGCAACACCATCAAGTTATATACCGTCCTCATAGTGGCCGCCCACCAGTAACCAACCCAACGTCAAGACGATATATTTGAACGAATCACCTTCGACACAGGTTCCAGTCAACAACCCTTAGAGCCCGTACCATGTCTGCAAGAACAGTTCGACAACGTCTACGCATCCACGGCATTCGTGCCAGACGCCGAGCCCAACGGGCGATTCTGACGCCAGAACATCGACATCGACGTTTCCAGTGGAACAGCGATAGGGAGCACGTGAGTGGAGATGAGTTCTCTTCACTAATGTGTCACGTTTCCTTCTTCGCCGAGCTGATGGTGGGACACGTGTCTACCTGCGCACATCAAGCCATGTTTTCTGGAAGGGGATATTTTTGGAGGTGGGGATGCTATGATCTTGGGTCAGATAACATCTGCAGCAAGGACGGCAATGATCGTGATTGAGGGGAACGTGGATGCTATGAGGTACCGAAATGAAATTTTACAAATGGCCGTTTTACCCTTTTGCAACAGAACAGCCCTAGAATGACATTTCAACTTGAGTTGTAAGGTAATATATTAATCAGAACAATGTGAATGCGTTACACTGGCATACAGGAACCCCTGATTTGTCACCCACTGAACACGTAATGTGATACAATAAAGCTCCAGGAACTCCGCCAAATCCTTCCAATATTGAAAGATCTTTCCTGGACTTTCATCAATGTTAAGTGGCCCCAGTGAGGCTAAGGTTTCAGGCCTGCATCAATGCGCGACGTGTACACACTTTCTACTGACTGAATGAACTTATGTTTGTGACGATCCCTCCCTTTGTTTTGTTTGTTTTTGACTGTTGATTGTAATCATACATCCAAACATTTGTCTTTCCATGTTATAACATTCCATTCGCGGTAATAAAGGGGTAACACCGATTCGGTTTGTTTGTGGGTCAATATAATATGCTATTGAATTTACAGATGTGTATAACGCATATGACTTATCACTTCACATGTTCTAATTGGTACCTTTTCCTTGAACTCGCTGGCGTGGTTTTTATACAATTCAGATGAGGCGTTCTGCAGCAAATCATCGAAGCTTGCATTCACTTTTACCATAAGTTCTATCTTGAACTGCGCTGTCTCTGCGGAGAAAGAAAGTTAAAATTAACCATCAAAATACAAAAGAACTACCATGTTGATAGTGTTTGGAGCCCGGCAGAACAATCGAACAGTGCCTGCATTATGGGCTACATTGTATGCTTCCTGCATTGAATAAACGTGAAAAATATACACCCTTTACAAAATATTATGTCATAAGTACTAAATATTGTTATCGAATTCTATCTGACACCTGCGATAGGAAATACTTAAAGTGGAGATCTCAAATCTCAAATCACAAATCTGCTGTTAGATTACGGCTTCTGACATGCTTGGATATCTCAGGAAGTTGGTAATGAAGAAACGTTTTGTTGTCTTTAGACAACGCATTTCCTGATTGTGGCAGTCGTTTCCCAGATAAAAAAATCCCATGTTTATTTTTAATCAGCCATGAAATCAGAACTTCAGTTTGAATCGTATGTCAAAACTATTGATGTGCTTAATTATAGACATGCTTGGTTGAAATTTAGAAGATGACGTAATTACATGTTGTGTTTAAAACGTACTCAGGGGTAATTGTAATGTTTGCAATCAAGGCTTTCTCAACTTGCTCTCTAAATGTCCAGAAGATGATAAGCACGTTTTAAATGAATGTCCTCCATAAGCCAATGCACGAATCTTTGAAGTTATCTAATCCCGAATTTTGCAAACCATGTATTTTATTTCGTCTAAGAAATACGAAAAAAAGACTTTCGTCAACTGTTGCTATATATTTGATCAGAAATGCAACAGTCCAACGATTTGAACCGTTCGTGTTCTTGTTCTGCTAAAGATGGATGAATCGCCACATGCAAGTATATTCGTAAACTAAGCATAACATGGTCGTATGACTTTAATATTGACGGGATATGACATTCTATATTTTAAATAATGAATAAGTCATAATGAATGTTTTTGAGCATATTGACTTCAGTGTAAAGAAACGTCCACAAATGTTTGTTAGAGCAAACTGTTTTGATTGAAGAGAACGATTCATAAAAACACTTACCAAGTTGTGGTTTGTTGTCTTTTTGGGGTGCTGTAGTGGGCGTTTCTGCAACCAGAAAATCATCCACGAATATATTTCATTTTAACCATTTGTTAACAATCGTTGTACTCGCAAATGTTCTTGCTTCACCGAATGCATGTGTTTCTACGAACTCTGCGAGCCTCGCATTAAGGATATTTGTGAAACGTTTTTCCGGAATTGTTTTAACGACATACTCACCCGTCAATTTTAAAAGCACAAATGAAATCACAATTCAAAAGTAATAAGCGTCTCAAAAGTTAGTAATGAAGACAGGAAAAGTGTGAATGACTGGCACATCTTGCTTTACCTTTCACATTCTAATGTAACAGTTCAGTTAATACGACATATAAAGCAGGAATTAGAAGCTATGAAAGAAATGGACAGGTCAGTTCAGTAAGATTCAGTCACCACGCATGTAACTGTCCATAAAATGTTCACGGAAGACTTACATTCCAAGAACCATAATAATTCTGTGTTACTATCCTTAGCGAAAGAAAGGTTTCATTATCAGGAGACATATTGGTAAATGTCACGATTTAAATGAAAAAGCAAATACCATTACAGGAAAGTACACCAACAAAATAACTGACTGCAGAAAAACAATTCAAGGCAGAGAACGTGAAAGTTATTGTGTTAGCAAGTTAAACTTTGTTTGTTTGTTGTTTAACGCCGCACTCAGCAATATTCCAACTGTATGGCTGCGGTCTGTAATTAATCGAGTCTGGACCAGACAATCCAGTGATCAACACCATGAATTGCGATCTGCACAATTGCGATATGTGTCAACTACGTCAGCGAGCCTGACCACCCGCTCTCTTTAGTCACCTCTTACGACAAGCATGGGTTGCTCAAGACCAATTCTAACATGGGAAGTCTCGAAATAGTCACCCATATTTAATCAGTGCAATTAAACACCACAACAGATGCACCTTTCTTGGTAGATATTGGTCTCATTGCAAGAAACCCTATCGCGTCTGTATATTGGATTTCGAACTGCGACTTCCGGTTACAGATACTTAAGTGGAGTTACCAAAGATACGAGTTCTCGACGTATGTCTACTCTACGCGATTGTTCTCGAGCGAATCAGGACAAGCTACTTGCATAAAACATATAGGTGTCGGCCATGTTCGACCATACGTCTGTGACTTACTAAACTGAATTTTCATCCGCGCATATTTATGACGTTTGGCGTGCCCTTGAAGCAACAGGATGTATCTAGGCCTTATTGCCAGATTATATCCTACAGTGTACCAAAATGAACTTTAAACCGAACATTTGTATATTTGCACTTTAGTATATTTTAAAACGTCGTATATTTTAGCCAAATTTTGTATTGACTACTGTTACTTCTTCCAGTAGCTGTTTACTGTCCAGCGATTTACCTCACTGTATGTCCTCACGAAATATCCCTTTGTGACGCAAAGACTGTAGCCAAATGACCCTCGTGTCATAATGACATATTGTTCTTAGGTGAAATCATCATGAAATGTTATTTTCTACTGTAAATAGACTCCCTGTATGTGGCGAATACAAGAAATGTATGGATGTAGTAACTGAATGTCCCTTCACTACAGGAACTTGAACCTCGTATCCATGGGCATTATCAAACAAAACACTCAGAAGGGTTACCTTTTCTAGCTGCAGTACTTTGGGCCTTCGTTACTCTAGATGTGGTACCTGTTGACTTCGAGACTCCAGTTTTGATAGGTGTTGCGCTCGAACCTACAATTGTGGAAGTTGTTGCGCTCGTGTCTTCAGTTGTGGAAGTTGTTGTGCTCGTGTCTTCAGTTGTGGAAGGTGTTGTGCTCGTGTCTTCAGTTGTGGAAGGTGTTGCGCTCGTGTCTTCAGTTGTGGAAGGTGTTGCGCTCGTGTCTTCAGTTGTGGAAGTTGCTGGACTCGAGCCTTCTGCGGAAGGTGGTGCGCTCGAGCCTTCAGTTGTGGATGTTGCTGGACTCGAGCCTTCTATGGAAGGTGTTGCGCTCGAGCCTTCAGTTGTGGAAGTTGCTGGACTCGAGCCTTCTGTGGAAGGTGTTGCGCTCGAGCTTTCAGTTGTGGCACCTGTTTGATAAAAGAATTGAACTAATTCAAAGTTATTCTGTTTCAAGTCCTGAAAACTTGGGACGAATAGAAACAATAAAACCTTTTCCATAATCCCAGTAATACTAGGAAACCTGTGCTAAAAGAATATTTCACTGTGCAATTCCAAATTTACCATAAGCATGCGTTTATGAATCTCTGTTAAATAGTGATAATACCCGGTTTTTGGGAAACAGTGAGTGCACCCTTCCCAACTGGTCTCTCTCTTGTCAAACCACTACCATTCATGCAGTTTGAATTAATATGTATCAATTCAACGTAATAAGCGGAATAAAATCTTCTTTACTACGGCCGTCATGCATATTTTGTTTCAAATAAATTTCAATAACATAGTTTATTTTAATATTATTCTAGTGGAGCAGATAAGGTGCGAAAATATGGAGATGTTTTTCAGAATTGATATATACTTGAAACTGAACATGGATATTATAAATAATGCATGGGCCACTTGAAAATCCAAAATGACCTCCAAATGTAAAAATGTCCAATTACCAGAACAATTTTCCACATAACGATTCGTCGATTTTTCAACGTTCGTGACTATGGCGTCTGAAAAACGATTATCAGCAAAGCCACCTTTAGTAACATTCAAAGATTATCATGGCATCCATCATTGCTCTCTTTACTTTTCTGCTGACTTGCAAATGGCATTGCAAACAAAAGGAACTGCATGGAATACCACTTATACAGCAAAATAGACCTCAAAAGCTAAGGCATGCCTCCTGCCACTGAACTTAAACTTTTGATTCGGATTTGTCTGAACTGAAATGAACGTTATCTAGGGCAGTTATGGTTCTCTTACGTTGGCATTTATATACTAACGGAAGGAACTAACTGTGCTTTATAAAAATGATAGAAGAATATTCTAAAATTGAATAGACTAAATACATCTTTCAATACATATTCATGCTGACATCTCACCGACTTGTCATGGTTTTCAATTTGCACGTGGATGTTACAGCACAAATTGCTTGTTTGCGTGTTGGAGCACGGGGTTATCTCCCAATTGACAGACACCCATCTGACAGACAGTCGATTGATAGACTCTGAAGTAGAAGGTTAATTAGGGTAACACCTACGGGTATAATGGAACAGTCCACTGTCAAATGAGCAGAGTTGGGTGAGCCTGAAACAGGTTCGTTACAGGGAGGTTTGCTTGAGTTTAAATAGAACTTGGTTGTGTTTAAATAATAATCTGTCTTCTCTTCTCAAATTTGTTTTTACTATCAATTACTATCGAATATTAAAACAGGTTTGTCACTAAAAGGTTTTATTGTGTTTATTGATTGAAACATATTATATTCATTCAAGAAAAGGATTGGGCACAAGTTATCAAACTGAGAAAAGCTCTCTCCCAATAATAAGATATGTACAACAGAAGTTGACTGAGAAAACGTTTTGTTTGAGAGATATGATGCATCAGTTTCTTTATATTTATTCTAAATAAATCATAATTAAGTGTACTCATCATATATCTTAATCTTGTGTGCAACACATTTAACATCCTTATTCCATGTGAATAATATTTTTCTATCATATGACTATAAGATTTACTGACTGACTGAGTTTGGTTTTCCGCCGGTTTTAGCAATATTCCAGCAATATCACGGCGGGGGACACCAGAAATGGGCTTCACACATTGTGCCCATGTGGGGAATCGAACCCGGGTCTTCGGCGTGACGAGCCAACGCTTTAACCACTAGGCTACCCCACCGCCCCTGGCTATAAGATTTAAATGATGCAGCAAAGTCAAAATTTCTAATAGCTAAGGACAGATTATTCTACATTCGACTGATGGAATTAACGATGATGAGTATGCCTCAGTCTTGTACAAGTTTCTTAACTTATAGGGGCGGTGGGGTAGCCTAGTGGTTAAAGTGTTTGCTCGTCACGCCAGAGACCTGGGTTCGATTCCCCACATGGGTACAATGTGTGAAGCCCATTTCTGGTGTCCCCCCGCCGTGATATTGCTGGAATATTGCTAAAAGCGGCTTAAAACCATACTCTCACTCACTCACTTATAGCTTGTACGGTTGCCTACGACAGGTGGAAGTAAATCCTGAAGAAAACCTGTTTTTGTTTTGTTTAGTCTGAACTTTAATTTCTGAAATGCTCCTATTACTTTATATGTCTTTTTGACAATGTTTTCAATATGATACCGCCGAAATGTTTATGAAAATCAACTGTTCTTATTGCAGCAAATTAAATTCAAATTAACGTCTTTTCAATCATCTGTCATAATAATATAATATGATAATAATATAGCTCCAATTTTTTCTTATGTTTTTATTTGGATTATTCCATTATAATGTGTAGGTCACAGGTAGGAGCTAAGCCGTTCATTGAACCGTAAATGTTGTTGTTATAAGGCGTCTGCGAACTGCCTGTCTGCGTAATGGGAGGACACCGAGCACGGTATTCACACAAGTGGTTTCTGAATGTAAACAGCACACACTGATTGTTTAGCAAGGAGATACTCAAGAAATTAGTTTTATTCAACGTTAAATTACTCTTACACAATGCAACGGCTGAAACTAAACGCCTACGAAATGTTGGAAATCATCAAGGAGGAGTGACGCAGAGGTTGCCAGACATTTTAATGGTCATCAGAGCACAATAATATGTCTTTGAAGACGTCAGCGCAACATGTCCACGAAGTCGTAAACGTATGACGTCACGAGAACAAGACAACCATATTTGGTTATTGAACATACGGAATCGATACTAAACTGTTACATTAACAACTAAGACAGACCCGTGAAGATCCGGGGTAGAATAGGTCTTCAGCAACCCATGTGCTTGCCATAAAAAGGCGACTATCTTGTCGTAAGAGGCGACTAACGGGATCGGGTGGTCAGTTTCGCTGACTTGGTTGACACATGTCATCGGTTCCCAATTGCGCAGATCGATGCTCATGCTGTTGATCACTGGATTGTCTGGTCCAGACTCGATTATTTACAGACCGCCGCCATATAGCTGGAATATTGTTGAGTGCGGCGTAAAACTAAACTCACTCACTCACTAAGACAACTCCTAGACAACTCCTGGACAAACGTCAAGAGATATCCGTAATTCTTTTCCACGTCAACGTCATGAGTACAGGTGTACTGGTGTACAGGTTATATCTGGACACCGTGGATGGTCGCGCAAAGGTCTACACACGTCCAGAACGGTGTAGCTACGATTACGAATTCAACGTCGTCAGTTTGGGAATGGAGATACGAGATGGCGTCACAACTCATTACATTTTGAATGACCTATATGTTACCGTAACTAAACGTTCTAGATTCCTGTCCAACTGTATTTTTAAATGTTGCAGTTGAAACTGTCATGGTCGGCTGTTACCATAGGAACATGTCTTGGGTAGGATGGTACAGTGCCTATGACGGGATCAGAACCATCCGGTAAACTCTAACTCTGCTGGATCAGTCTTTGGGTTAACATCCTAAAGACTATTTTCAGTCATCAGTGTGTAATATGCGCCACCACTGCTGCCCTGTGCCTACGAAAATGGTGGTCACGTCCAATATGTACTTTGTCAACTCTTTTAGCGCGTGTCACTCTTTCTCCTATAACCAGGAATGAGCATGTGTTATGATTTAGTAAAGATAAAACAATGAATAACCAGATATGTTATCCTTAAGAAAAGTAGGGGAACCTGAACTTTCACTTTGGATAGGAAGTATAAGCGTTGACAACGCATGGGATGGATGTGCATGGGATGTCAAATTTGATTTTGACGGTTTTCAGAAGGGTCAATAAATCACTGTAGACCATTTACTTTGACAATCGTCTTGCATCACACAGTTGTTAGAGTTTGTTTCTAGCCGGGTTTTTTTGTGTGAAAATGAAAATCGTTTACATGCAAATTTCACGTCATACACCAATCACCTTTCAAGAGCCATTACTGTACAAACAACTATGTATATATGGTCATAAGAAAGTGCAAGTGGTGATGCACTCTCAAAACATTCATTATTCTCTTTTCAACGTTGATTGACTCCGATATGTCTCCCAAGTTTTGCAATCTTAAATTAAAAGATCATCTACTTTTTTTAAGAGTATATCATGTTGCATTTTCAATAACATAACACTTACACATTTATACGAAACACAGTTAGTTACTATGAACATCGTATTACTATATTCATCTATGTTTGAAAACAAAAAATGAATATTTACCCTCTTTGCGAACACCTGGTGTTCATCGCTGATTTAGAATTTTTTCATTTTGTCATTTTACTATCAGTGGCCGATTCAAGACCGATTTTACCCGTGAAGATCCGGATTAGAATTGATCTTAAGTAGCCCATGCCTGTCGTAAGAGGCGACTAACGGAATCGCATGGTCAGACTCGCTGACGTCGTTCACACATGTCATCGTATCCAAATAGAGAAGATAGATGCTCATGATGTCGATCACTGAATAGTCTGGTCGAGATTCGATTATTTACAGGCCACCGCCATATAGCTGGAATATTAATTAGTGCGGCGTAAAACTAAACTCACTCACTCACTCGAGACTTTTAAAAATGAAAGTGAAGAATATCAGATGCTATCACAGGGAATCAGACTTCATTAATTCCCTTCATTAGCTGCAACTGTATGCCCTATTACTTTTTGAAAATTATGGCCAAACGGTGTCTAAAATATGATAGAGATATCCATCAAAGTCTTTGATTGGTAAGTTTTTGGTTAGTTGTTTAACGCCACTCAGCAATATTCCAGCTATATGTCGGTCTATGAAATCGGGTGATATTCTAAAATAGATAACACAAATTGCAAATATCTTTTTTATCACGAACGTGTTCATTAATAGATTTCCTCAACCCATATTTCGATATTCTGATAGTGTCCTAAATAGAAGTAACAATGAAATAGCTATAGGCCATTGATCATGCCCCATAAATTACAACACATGTTCCACACATTGAGTATGGTAATTATTTCACACACATTTAGAAGTAACGAGATGTATGTGAAATACTTGTAGAATCTATCGTGACAGTTATCTATACATTTTCTCAGTTACTATTGAAAGTCATACCTGCTTCAGCTGAAAGCGTAAAAGCCAGTAGTAAAACGCAAACAAGTTTGAGCTCCATCCTTCTTGAATTCCTGAAACACAATGAACATGTTTTAATCTCAGGCAAACTCGAAACAGTGTGCGAAATAGCCACTGACCCGTTAGCTCGTAGCTAGTAAAAATCCACTCGGGCCAGTACATCTCCGCAGTCACTGGAACGACTGGCCAGTGAATTTTCAGGGGGTCATTTTGTAACTATATCACACTCTCCGACTTGTTAAGTTATAATCCACTTTTAAATCATGCAAGATTATGTCTTATAAAGATGTTCATCATACTAATAGCTTAATGATGACTCATTTGAGCATTTACACAATATTGCAGACATGTGTTTTCTTATAGCTTTTTGTGGCATTTTACTTTTTTGCAATCTTTTGCTTAGTTTATACATTCAAATTTTGAGCTAGTGAATTATTTTGAGGGCTAGTAACTTTCAGGCATAGCTAGCCCGACTGGCTAGCAAAATTTTGAAACTATTTCGCACACTGACCCTATACGATGTGCTTCTAATCAAAGGTACAGTAGTTTTGTATTGAGAATGTTGTCGGCATCCTGCATGTCACTGATCCAAACGTCTGGTGTCGATTCTGTGAAATGCTGATCACACCAAAGACGTTTACAACATAACCGTATGTTGACCCATTTTGTGCATGCCTGTACATCTGCCTATTTCTTCTGATTACAGACGACGTTATCAATGCATTCAGTTGTTGCAATCCTAAAAGCAACAGTTGTGTTGACAACGACCGCACCTGTTCACGTGAAATGACGCTAGTTATCAGTAGGGGTGAAACGGTAGTGCGGAACAAGACCTTCGGTTCGGTCCGTTTCAGTTCGGTATATGAGATATGATCATAATGCAGAAAATTGACAAGGGCCAAACCTAGATAAATTTGGACAAAATGATTCGATTTATGGACATTTTAGAAAAGGTTAAAAATGTTTTTCAAAAGATTGATAAACTGACGGTACGAAAATCGAATTTTTGGATTGGATTACGGTATACCGAAGCAAAGGCAAACTCCTGCGGTTCTACTAATACCGCGGTTTACCGTTTCACCCCTAGTTATCAGCCATGTTTCTTACTCTGAATAAACTACAATTTTTCGTTTCTTTTGCTTCTTTACGATTAAATTGTTCCTTGAGGATCCATTTATCCACCTTTGTGAGTTGCATCGTGAGAAGGTTGTGATAGGTCACTTCCTTTGTATTCTGCATTTTGTTTACACTATTTAGACTTTTAACACAAAGTAATGATTTCACATCTGCTGCACAATTTTATACTGGTATTGTAATCTCTTTTATTGATTTGAACTGATTTGTAAACTTAGTTAATTTCGGAATACAATTGATAGAGTTTCAACATTTCTTTCCTGTTTGTTGGTTTTACACCGATTTTCTATTTCGTATAGATTTCGAGTTTCGTTTTGTTTTAACTTGGGACATCCAGGGGCGTAGCTACCATTATAAAAAGAAAGCCCGGGCTTACACATGATTTTGTCTGTGAAAGTTGGATAAGCCCTCTATACTATCTAAATATAAAGCTTTGCAACCTATCGGGCTAACACGAAAATAATGGCTCGCTACGCGCCTGACATCTAACATTTAAAATTCAGTTTCCCGCTGTTGTGAAGCCAACGATGTTGGGCTTAAGTTTTTATGCATTCATTTTTAATTCATCTATAAGAATGAACAAAATGCATTTCATCCTATCGACAACATAAACTATCACACATAATTAACTGAATTTATCACCTCTTTACCTCGTAAATTGTGACATGATTTTAACTGAACGAAAGAGAGAATAGTTCCCAAACCTGTCCTGATTTATTTTCACATTCCTCTGTTTGCAGGTGGTTGTCACGTGTTGGTAACTTGAAGACAATTGATGACTTGTCGGGGAATTATAGCTAAGTCGTAACAAGCAAGCAGTTGTCAAATGGGTTTCAAGTAGGACTGAGATAACGTCTAAGTACTAGACGTAGGGTTGGGCTGCCCTAGCTGTATTCAGGCTTATCTATTTGAAAGTCGATCGACCTATAACACACACACACACACACACACACACACACACACACACACACACACACACACACACACACACACACACACACACACACACACACACACACACGCACACACACGCACACACACACACACACACACACACACACACACACACACACACACACGTGTGTGTGTGTGTATACTCACTATTATAAAATGGTCACTTTTTATAAGATAAATGATACATGTCATAAGAAAAGTTGATACAAGATATGGTTCCAAAATTTTACATGGACATATCTCTATTTGTATCTGTGTGAAATAGAAATATTTCTTATGAAGCATCACATTTGAAACAATCTTGAGCGTGTATCATCTCAACGTTATTACACATATTCTCAACGTTAATAGTCACAGATTTCGGAACTTACTTCATCTTGAACATACACATACCTTACAGACATTCTCATCGACTTTCTTTATAGGTTTTATATGAAGGAGTTATTAATAAAGAGGGAAGGTTGAATTTTGAAACGATATCCAGACTTCGACTTAACCTGACATAAATCATAACGTCACACTTATTCCCCTGATTTGTACATGAAAATTCTAAACACCTGTTCCTTACTATTGACGCAACTGTGACAAGGCTTATTAAACCCGCTGCAGAGGTTTCATTATTATAAATATATAATTCATAGTTTCACCAAAAGTATAAAATATCGTGCCGTTCTCACCTGGATTCTCTGCACGTTGCTGTTCCTGAACAATCCGTGATGATTATCTAACACTCCAACACCAGTACTGTAAGACAATTTATCATGCGTAGGTTAGATTAAACTCAGAGGTAAAAACGAACTGTCTGAAGTTTGACATACTTCCTTGTATGAGCAAAAAATCGAAATTCATTTCGATGCAAGCAACGGTGGTATTGCACCTCGGTTTTGTTCTGATGTGTGTTCTAAGTGCAAAGATGAATTGGCACAAAGTTGGATAATATATTGCGTTGCTCGTAAACCTTTGTTCAGTCGAGCTGTTTTGTCGTTAAATTGCGTAACTAACTTTGTATAGGTCTTGTTGATTTTGTCTTTAAGTGTTAAACCTTCTTTGGATAAATCTAGTTGATTTTGTCGTTGATTGTGACCTTGCAATTATCTAAAAGTTTCCGTATGCCATGTTTACAAAAGATAATGTTTTGTATTGTAGCATTTGAAATCATTTGAGAAAACTGTAGAAATTTAAATTCCAACGTGACCATGAGATTCCTAGCTTTTGAGACATTGTATGAAGCACGTGCTTTGCATTTGCAATCAGTATGCTAGTGTATGATTGCTTGTTTGGACCAATTGTTTTTTTAAATTGCCCCTGACTTCAGGCGATAGCATATGTGTGTGTTCGTGCGTGCGTGCGTACGTGCGTGCATGCATGGATGGACACGAGCTTAACGTTTAAACTTTATCTTCAAGTAGTAACTGTATTCTCTTCCGGAAGATAAAGTTGAAAGGCCTAGGAGGGTAATTCGTGTTGTGTCATTTAATATTCTGTGGACGGGCGGTTGGGTAGCCTAGTGGTTAAAGCGTTGGCTCGTCACGCCGAAGACCCGGGTTCGATTCCCCACATGGGTGCAATGTGTGAAGCCCATTTCTGGTGTCCCCCCGCGGTGATGTTACTGGAATGTTGCTAAAAGCGGCGTAAAACCAAACTCAGTCAGTAATATTCCGTGGAATATTTTATGTATTACAGTATGAAAAATGTATGTGCTGGAGCCGGTCATGTAGAAATTGCATCTTGTCATGCTTTCCATAAACCCTTGCCGCCTCAAAGAGCGAGGTGGACGTGAGAAAGGCTCGGGGAACACATTTCACGTGCTCGGGCAACTCACAAAGAGTATTCATGGTTGAATATTAAGTTCATGAATATCGTTTAAAAATGATTAATATTCAAACATAGTTATTTAAACATGTTTGGTGCTTAGGGTCTTTAAATGATGTCCGTGGAAAAAGGATGGAGAGCTCTCAGACCCTTCGCGCTGCAGATTCATGCCAACCATTTCAATGATAAGACACCAGGTTTTCGTGTTCTAACCTATACATTCGAGTTCACATGTTGAAAACCCGTGAAAATCCGGGTTAGAATTCTTCAGTAACCCTTGCTTGTCGTAAAAGGCGACTAACGGGTTCAGCTGGTCGGGCTCGCTGACTTTGTTGACAATTGCCATCGTATCCCAATTGAGTAGATTCAATGCTCATGATGTTGATCACGTGAAGGTCCAGGTTAGATTTTTTTCTTCAGTAACCCATGCTTGTCTGAAGAGGCGACTAACGGGATCGTGTGGTCAGGCTCGCTGACTTGGTAGACACATGTCATCGTATTCCAATACGTGGATTCGATGCTCATGCTGTTGATCAATTGATTGTCTGGTTCAGACTTGATTATTTACAGACTGCCGCCATATAGCTGGAAAATTGCTGAGTGCAGCGTTAAAGAACAAACCAAACCAAAAAATTGCATGTTGAAAATGTATGGACAAATAAGCACAGGCCTTGGACATGATTTATACACGTATTTCCTCGCAAATTTCGTCTAAGGCTCCGCAATTAGATGTATTGCGTGCAATGGTCCATAACAAAAATGGTTAACTTTTGAGACCTGCATCGCTTGGCTGTTTCTTCCACACTAAACCGTGACGCAGTGATATATATGGAATATGGTTTACAATGGCGTTGAACCCAACTCACTCACTCACAGAATCAAACAAATGTCGAAAATCAGTTATCTGAAGTTGTTGGCAATCTCTGGCAATAAATTGTGGATATTGAATTCATGAATGACGCTTTCGAGTAGTTCCTGCTTGTGGACATTATTGCATATGTATTTAACCGTGATAACCAGTTTATCGTTGATTCTTTTTTCACGAATTACTCTACACGTTCTTGATTGCAAAGTCACCATAAATTAAAGATAAAAAACCCATTGGTGCAATTTTTTTACAGAGTATTTTCAAATATTCTATTGCGGCCTAAAATTCCACTTTATAAAAGTACTTATCACTCCTTTCTCAGTTTTGGTAGTCATACCCTTCTCCCAGGGCGGTGGGGTAGCCTAGTGGTTAAAGCGTTGGCCTTTCATGTCGTAGACCCGGGTTCGATTCCCTACATGTGTGCAATAGGTGAAGCCCATATATGGTGCCATCCGCTATGATATTTCTGGAATATTGCTTAAAGCGGCGTAAAACCACATTCACTCACTCTCATAGTGTTTTATATCTTGTCACTGTTTACTCAACGTTTTTTAGAGTGAAGATAAAGTGTTCGAGCAAACATAATAATCGATAAATACAGGGTGTTTCTACGTTGTTCCAGATTGGTGGTGACCCAATGTGTAACCTTGACTAAGAAATGCAGATAAGAGTTGCAATCTATTCTTAGAACAGTATATAAGGTGATTGTGGTTGTGATTCAATAAGAAATTGGGCAGCAGGCGGGGTGACATTTTGTGTTTATCTTACCCGCTTGCCGTTCAAACAGTAGAAAATAAGAAAGCTATACCTGATGAGTGAGCAAGTTTGGTTGTACGCCGCTTTTAGCAATATTCCAGCAATATCACGGCGAAGACCAGAAATGGGCTTCACACATTGTACCCATGTGAGGAATCGAACCCGGGTCTCTGGCGTGACGCGCGAACGCTTTTACCACTAGGCTACCCCACCGCCCCTATACCTGATGAACATATTAATCGATTTAAGTTTATATACTTGAGTATTAGATTCAAAAAGTCTACTACTGTGAGGTTGAAATAGGCTGTTCGGTTTTATACGTCGTCGAGAACAACAAAGATTGATCTGGTTTGAATAGCCGATCGACATAGTATTAATATTGCGTCAATTTCGAAATTTGTTTTTACACATAACCATTTTGACCACACATATTCCAATATTTGTAGCATATGGAAAAATGGCCACAAATATACTCAGCAGCAAAAAAACGTCAGTACGAGTTCAAAATTAGATAGGCACTGTAATCAAATCATTACAGAAATTGACATAATCAACGGACCAAAACTTTTTTTTGTGTACAATATCTTGACATATCAATGAATAACTCAGCACAATTTCAAGACATTACGTGAACGTTTGCAGTCCATGCAGACTCTTGACTTCAGTATCTAGTGTGACCACCACGAGCGGCAATAACTGCAGCACAGCGTCTATGCATGGAGTGCACCAATCGATTGATGAAGGCCATTGGCACCTGGAACCAAACTCTAAGAAATGCCTGGCGCAATAAATCGGCTGTGTTCGGCCTTGGTATGACATTATTCAGTCTCCTCTGAATTTCAGCCCAAAGATGTTCAATTGGGTTTAAATCAGGACTAAGGCCTGGCCACTGCATAATGTTGACACCGTTCTGCTGTAGGAAGTTCCGTGTAGGTCTAGCAATATGGACCCGGGCGTTATCATGCTGGAAAATGTTGTTCCGGTGACGTGCGAAATGTGGTATGACGTGGGGTCTGAGAGCTTGGTCGATGTAGCGCACCGCTGCGATGCCGCCTCCTCTCCCTGGACCAAGGTTCTGGAACACCACAGGACCCACTCTCTGGTTCAGGCTTATTCCACCCATACCATGATGCTTGCACCTCCCCATGAGTCTCTTTCCATAACACATTGGTCTGAGTAACGCTGGCCATGTCGTCCCCCTATTCTTGTTCTGCCATCTGCAGTTGATACACAGTACTGACTCTGATCTGTGAACAGAACAGATCTCCATTGCCTGTTTTCGCCGGTTTTGGTGTTGTAGGGCAAACTGTAAAAGTTCACGCCGATGACGAGGGGTGAGGATAGGTCCACGGTAAGGTCTACGGCAATGGAGGTTCCCGCTGTTAAGACGTCGGCATACTGTATCAGTACTGATTGGTCTTCCGTGTGTTCCCACTGTCTGGCGTGCTGTTTCGGATGCCTGCATGAAGGGATTCTGTACATGCTGTCGCACAACATGGCGGTCTTGTCGTCTTGTGGTAACCCTTGGTCTGCCAGTACGGGGGCGATCATTTGTGGTGTTGGTGGCCCGGAAATGTTGCTGCAGCCTGTAGATGGTCCGAACGTTGACCTGGAAGTGATTGGCAACAGCTTGTGCAGTGTGGCCAGCTTCAAGTCTTCCTAGCGCCTGGTTCCTCTGAGTTGTCGTGAGTCGCGGCATCCTGCTGACGTCGTAATGTGAATGTTTCAACCAGGTTTGGGGGTGCATTTTATAGGGCTGGTCCTTGTGAACAGCACGTGCAGCATGAGTTGCATGAACAACATGGAGAACACCGTACCATCTCCGAGGTCAGGTTGCATTTTTGAGACCATTTCCTGGGTTCAATTCTGAGTTTGGGAAGGAATGTCTTTGCTCAGGTAAAGTTGGAGATGTTGTCAAAAATATACAATCAAAACATTCAATGAATTTACAGTTATCCGTTTCTGCGAAGGAAAATTCCAAACTGACGTTTCTTTTGCTGCCTAGTATATCAGATCTGGTGTTATTATATGCTGAAATAATCAGACAGTAGATGTTGCCTTTCATCATGAGTCTTGATCCATGCTATGTACGTGGAATAATAAGTTTCAACCTTGATTTACTGTTTGTGTAAGTGTGAATGTGTAAGTTTCTTTAGTTGGTGGGGCGGTGGGGTAGCCTATAGGTTAAAGCGTTCGCTCGTCACTCAGAAGGGTACAATGTGTGAGGCCCATTTCTGGTGTCCCCTGCCGTGATATTGCTTGAATATTGCTAATAGGGGTAAAAAACACAACTCACTCACTCACTCTTTAATTGGTGTGTCAGTTAAACACTCGGGATCTTCATTGGAAGGAACACACTTTAACGGACGCACTGCACCCAATCCCTCCCTGTTATTGTGAATGAATGAGTGAGTGAGTGAGTGAGGTTTTACGTCGTATTTTGTCGGGACACCATATGCATGGGAAACGAACATATGTTGGTAATGGAACCCGGACCTACATGTTACTAGCGATGGTTTAGAACAATATTATCACATCGCTCTCAAATCGCGGTGGTCAGATCGGGTGGTCAGGCTCGCTGACTTGGTTGACACATGTCATCGGTTCCCATTTGCGCAGATCGATGCTCATGTTGTTGATCCCTGGATTGTCTGGTCCAGACTCGTTTATTTACAGACCGCCGCCATATAGCTGGAATATTGCTGAGTGCGGCATTAAACTAAACTCACTCACTCACTCATCTCAATTGTACTCTCCATACCTGGAAGATAAAGCCGTCAACCAATCCGTAGGTTAATCTTTATGTATTATAATTACAGATTCCTTCATTCCTAACTTGTTACATGAAATAACCCATGAACTCCATACAATGATCCGCCTTTCCTTGACTAGACACAAAATAAGGGAACACTGAGACACAACAATATGCTATTTCTCGACGTAAGGGAAATGGCGCGAGCATTATTCTCCCTGTGCATCGGACCCGTGAAGATCCGGGTTAGAATTGATCTTCAGTAAAATATGCTTGTCGTAAGACGCGATTGATGGGATCGTGTGGTCAGTCTCGCTGACTTGGTTGACACATGTCAATCCCTATTGCATAGATTGATGCTCATGCTGTTGATCACTGGATTGTCTGGTCCAGACTTTATGATTTACACACCGCCGCCATATAGCTGGAATATTGCTGAGTGCGGCATTAAACTGAACTCACTCACTCACTCATCTCAATTGTACTATCCATATCTGGAAGATAAAGCCGTCAACCAATCCGTAGGTTAATCTTTGTGTATTATAATTACAGATTCCTTCATTCCTAACTTGTTACATGAAATAACCATGAACTCCATACAATGATCCGCCTTTCCTTGACTAGACACAAAATAAGGGAACACTGAGACACAACAATATGCTATTTCTCGACGTAAGGAAATGGCGCGAGCATTATTCTCCCTGTCATTCGGCCGCTTGAGTATCATATCCACGTATCGTTGTTAACCCCTGGTTTGCGTGCTCCATGCCGCCGTGATATACCTGGGATATTTACCTCGGCCTAAAGCACCATTCACTCACTCACTAATACACTTGTTCAGAGGTTACTGGTCTGTATCAACACACACTTGGACATGTCAGTTTTTGTAGTTGAACGTTGCTTGTTCTTGTGTGGCGGAGGTGGTTTGCAAACGTTGCTGCGGAGAAGACTCTGGTCTTCTCAAAAATATAACATAGCCTTTGCTCGAGGAGACAGCTGACCCCATTTGTCTTCTGTTGCACACCTGGAAATGTTTGTGACGCACTTCAGATCTTTGTTTGCCTCACCTTATTGTCAAGTAGAAACAGTTAAATCAAGTTTGTCTGGAACATACGTTGGTGTAGAAAGAGAGAGGCGTGGCTGGAGGAGAATCACGTGACAAACGAGCAAGTGCGTGAGTGCGCGAATATTTATCAATATGCCAGCAATGTAAGGGGGTGGGGTGGGGTGGGGGGTGTTTACCAATAAGACTTCCTCACACGCACGCACGCACAAACTGATACAGTGGAAACCTGATAAGTAAAATTTCAAGGGACTCGCCAAAATTGTTTACTTATCAGGTATTTTACTTATCCAAACTCATAAAAACCAGCAAATGACAACCATATGCATGTATATGTATGCATATGTAACAATGAACAACTTATCAGGGCTGGCCTCCAGTTGTCAGTGTATTGTCAACTGCTTGTGTATTGTTTCTGCTGTATACTTTTGGTACCCGATTGGTTCAATTTTGCTACACGTAACGTATCATGAGTGAGTGAGTAAGGTTTTACGCCGCTTTTAGCAATATTCCATTAACATCCGGCGGTGGGACACCACAAATCTAGATCTGGTTCACACATTGTACTCATGTAGGGAATCGAACTCGGCGTGGCAAGCGAACGCTTAACCACAAAGCTACCTCAGCGTTCCAACTTATCATGATCACGTAATAGTTCCTTGACATACATTTCATTCAAACCACTCTTGTATGATTCTGAAAGAGAATATTTATCTTGTCTATTTTAATCGCCAGACAGCTACATATTCTACTTCTTTAAAAGTTTAACTGTAATAGAGTCAAGTCAGTTTTAGATTCTCGGCAGCGTGTAGTTAAATCAACTGTTTGTTTGTCGGTCAACACGGGGTTTAGGAATAGTTTAGGACATTGTGTAATCCCTTAAATACTTGTTGTATGAAATTCTAAACAGGATAATATATTGTCGCTTTACAACCGGACAAATTTAACAAGAGGTCAAATATCGTTTTGCAGCGCCATGTAAATGTCTGAAAAACACCATTAACATGAACAACAATGCGATAAAGTCCCATCTAGATTCCACATCGAAATATATTTAAACACAATTTAGGAATCCGGTTGACCCTGTATGCGCAAATGTTTGCACACACAATTGTGTTACCATAAGACCGGTGGCACTAAAACAAATATATTTCGCAAGTAAAGAGATGCGGGTGTCGGATTTACACGTATGGAATATTGGACATGAAAGTTTCGTCAAGGTAAGAATGCACGAAACAGAATGCTTCAGTGCGTAAACAATATCATTTCCTTAAACGTACCTATTTCAACACTATCGAGTAGGTTCATTGTAAATATTGAAGTGGATCGTGTAGAGTAATATTTGCCTTGAGGGAATGACCCGCTCATTGGTGGATAAATGACACGCCAGTTCTATAGCTCAAAGTTTATCCCCTACCCAAGTTAGTGTGAGATAACAATTATTACAATAACTTCCGTAATTTCAGGTTGGTTAACGTGCGCTTACAGTTGCATTATTGGGTACCAAGAGTGGCCACTTCTGATCACTGTTCTTCTATTGGAATACTATTGGCTCTTTACCAACGACTTGCATCACGAGTAATTCATTTCTCAGATACACAAAGTGTTACGCAGGGGCGGTTACAGCTTTTTTGAGAAAGTGTGTGTGTGTGTCTGTCTGTCTGTGTGTGTGTGTCTGTGTGTGTGTGTACGCACTATTGAGAAAAGGAGGGATGCACACTTCATTTTCACCCGAGTTTCAATGGTCATTTAATAAACTTTCAGGGCAAAGGGTTACGTCCCTTGTTGATTCCCCAAACCTGTCGAGGTGGTCGACAGATACACAAAGAGTTACATTCCTTGTTGATTCCTCAAACCTGTCGTGGTGGTCAACAGGTACACAAAGAGTTACGCCCCCTTGTTGCTTCCCAAACCTGTCGTGGTGGTCGACTGGTACACAAAGAGTTTCGTCCCTTGTTGCTTCCCCAAACCTGTCGTGATGGTGGACAGATACACAAAGAGTTACATCTCTTGTTTATTCCAAAAATTTGTCATGGTGGTCGACTGGTACACAAAGAGTTACGTCCCTTGTTGCTTCCCAAACCTGTCGTGGTGGTCGACAGATTCACAAAGAGTTACGCCCCTTGTTCCTTCCCCAAACCTGTCGTGGTGATCGACTGGTACAGAAGAGTTACGTCCCTTGTTATATGGTTGGTGTATCTGCTTTCACCCAGCCGCCAAAGGGTGCCCCAGTCTGTCGAAGGACCGAGCAGGAACCAGTCTGTAGTGGTGGATTCGTAACCCATAGAGTTTCGGTTGTTGGTCTGTCAGCACCATACCCGTACCCGCGCAAAGCATCCAAGTCCTGCACCACTTCGACGTCAGTCTGACCCGCCACCATATAACTGAAATACCGTACAAAGCGACGTTGTGCCAAACTCACTGATCAACTCTGATCAGGTCGAGGATAACCACAGACGCGTATAATACGTTGATGGGCGTACAGTACGTCAGTCGGCGTGTTATACAATGTCCGAGTTACAACAGATTCGCGGTGAACATGGTGTACATTATTTTTTTATGGCGAATGTAGATCATTGGATTCAATTTCAAACCTATTTAGCCAGTGCACAATGAACGACTAGCAAACCACTTATAAAGCATCTTAAAAAGTTTTATTAATAAAAAATACAGATATTGCATTCATTTTAATGTGATGGCGCACGCTGATTATATATCTTTAGCATGTACATGGCGGGCTATCCGAATATGTAAACGTGAATATATACTTGAATATGCAAGTCTAAAAAAACAAATAATAAAGGACCTGATATTTTCACAAGCTGTCAAAGTGAGTATTATGTCCAGCCTACACAAAAGTAATATTTCAAAAATATACAGGGAAAGCCTGAAACGCAAAGTGATTACAATTGGAAATTGTCAGAATGTTACAAATACACGTCATGAATATAGCGTAATTCGGAGGTCAAAGCCTATCACCCTTGTTACAAAACCCGAAATTCAACTAAGAAACATGAATTGAACACAAGTCCTATGAAAGTGCAGGGTTTTCGTTGAAATGTCTTGCCTAACCCGTGAAGATCCCAGTTAGACTTTATCTCCAACTCATGGCTTTGTCAGTTATTTCGCTATTTTTTGTCTAACTGACCTTTTTCATTTGGTTGGTATAGTGCAAGATAAGTTCGGGGTTAGACTTGATTCTCCAGAGCCCCTGCTTGTCATAAGAGGCGACTGACGGGATCAAGGGGTCAGGCTCTTTGACCTGGTTGAAGTATGTCTTGATTGTATAGATCGATGCTCATGATGTCAATCACTGTTTTTTCTGGTCCTGACTCGAATAGTTACAGACAATGTTTGCTTTACTGATCAGAGGAGATAAGGAACAGCCTTCGTGCGGATTTTCTTGAAACATGGCATCCATGCTGCCATATTGCCCGCCCAACCACAACGAGTGGTAAATATATATGACATGCTTATTTTCAAATGCTTACAGCTGTAAATGAAAAATAAACATAGAAGCGTTTGATATCGTGTTACAAATGGTCAACTGAGTATATGTTCATGTTAATTAAATATTTATGTTTTTAAAACAGCATGTGGGTATGTAACATGAATATCATCAGGTGTACACAATTTTAAACATAAAAAAATGGTCTTCAATTGACTATTTGTCAATTAGTATATAAATGATTTTCGTCTTTGTCAAACAGAATTGAAGTTGGGAATCGTTTTGTCTTTAATAAATACTATTTAGTGTTTATTTAGTGGTAACAGTGAAATCACTTATAATGATGAAGATGATGATCCTATGTACATCACGACCTAACTCTATGATCCATTCTTAGCGGTGTTCACAGTACACCACTTACCAGGAGTTCGATGCCGTTTCAATGTGTGCTGAACTGAAAACTTGATGTAATTTGTGTAAAGAAGCAGGCTAGCTATTCTCGAAACGTTCGTAGCCCTACAAACTTCTTAAGCCCATTCTTAACACATTGGCTACGATCAAACTTAAGAATTCTTAGGGCTACGAACGTTTCGAGAATAGCTAGCCAGATGATAGGCTGATTATGCTGAATATATTTCAGCGTTGTTATGACTACGAACTGTGCAGATTTGAAAATATCCTGAAAAGCTCCTAACAGATTAGTGTGTATGACGAGACTATTATAACCTCTGCAAACATAGTAACAATCTAATAATCTGGAATAGAATTATTGGCTGGTAGTATCACTGTAAATTCTCAAATTAGCATTTCCTTATTCACCAAAGCCGACAGATACAAAATATCATGCATTAATGCATCTATTTATGTAAAATCAATAGACTGAAAAATAGCTGACACAGTTAAAATCTATTTAACTGCAAGCAGTAAAGACAAATATCCTGTGCTGTAGTTGAAGACATGATATGGAGTGATAGAAGTATACCTTTAAGAAGGTTTGTCTTTATAAGACTTATGCACTTGATGATGGTGAGTAATATGACTTCAGAGTAAAATGTAAAACAAAAAGGGTAAGTTGCGGTAACCATATAAACTGTCGAAAAAAACATCTCGTTTAACGAAAGGCGAACATACTTATTGTTATGTAATGAGCCACGGTATGGTTAACGTTGATGGAGTCTTGCAGTTTGGAGTGTGCTGGGTGACGTCCAATTGAAGGTGTTATAGATACCGAGGGTGTCCAAGTTGGGGTGGTTTGTCAGGGTGTCCAGGGTGTCGTGAGTGGTCGTGTTGTGCTTGCTGATGGTGTCTGGGCTGTGAGTGTTGTTGTTATGGTGACCTGGGGTGACGAGGTTGTTTTGATTGCGTAGGGTGTTCGTTGTTCTGGGTGATGTTAGTTCCTCAAGTACTGAAATCGTTACTGCATAACTTGTGTATGGCTGCCACAGTGCAGACTCCGACAACAGACTTCGTGTCCTATCAGTTATGGTTAAAATGACGTCTCTGAAAAGAGAACTGTTTGCATTTGAACGAATAAAAGAGAAGACATTATTGCATCTATGAAAGAGTAACGCCAGTTTGTATAACTGGATAACTTGAATTTGCCTTGAACCATGTTTTACTCAATAAGGTATCAATATCTTTATTGCATGGATAGAAGCCCATGATGTCAACCACTGGGTTGTCTGGTCCAGAATCGACCATTTACAGTCCGCTGTCATACTGCTAGAATACTGCTAATACCGCTTTAACCATCAAACAGACAAACAAACAACAGCCTTGCCACTCCCCTAGACTAACGCTTAGTCACTGAATATACATAATTTAGATGGTAATACATAAACCCATTTAAATTGAAAAGGAGCCCCAGGGAGACCAGAGATTCAGAACCTGAGGAAATCTAGACTTGCTTCATTTAGAGCTTTAGCATTGCAGAGAGGGCTAGGCAGTAGGGAAAATGTGGTTCAGGGACCGTGAGGCAGACTACCACTCCCCAACATAGTCCTACCTCAATGCCATCCCGTCCCTGGCGAGACCAGTTCTCACTCCGGCGGTCCGAGTGCTCCCATTGTCCACGTCTGTCCCTGGTTTCCCTCAATCTGCCCTTGGCACCTTATCTCCTGTCCACGTCGCTGCAAATCTCGGGCAAATGCGCTGTCGTTGACTCTCCCTTGACTCTCGCTTCTGTAGAGTTGTCCCCGATCCCACGGTTCGTTGTCCTGGCGCGGTCGTCGTCTGTTGTGTTCCATGCCGCTGCCGTTATCGACGCCGTAGTCTGGCTCAGGGACAGGGATGAAACTGTTTGGGTGCCGAAATTCCCCGAACGTCTTAGGCCGAGGTTTGGGAGAAAGAACAGGCGTTTGTTGTACACGGTCGGCTTCTCGCAAGCTCCGTCTGTCATTTCTAAAGCTCTCGTGTCTCCCGTGGTTTCGGTCCGACATTAGCTGCTCCCGATATAGCCGTTCCAGATGTCTGTCCTTCGGAACATAGCCATCTTGCCCCATTTGGTCATGTGACCGGAAGCTATATTGTTCCCGAAGATCAAGTTTCGAGTTTTGGATTTGCATGTGGGGAGTATTTTGGATGACAGAAATGGTTTTACGGCGGCGCTCATTGACATTAGCATAAAACCCTGAGACAGCTCTTGACAAACGGTTAGAGTCAAAGGACTTTTCAGCACCGGTCCTGTAGTGGTCTTCTCGCATTGAAGGTTGATACATGGAGAACTAGAAATCGAAACAACGTTGAAAATATTTTAGACCAAAATAATATACTTTTTTTTAAATGTAAAAAATTATAAATTTTATGAAATATTTCATGATAATGTTCTGGTTAAATAAACTAGGTGACTAGGAAAGGTACAGCTTGTTGATCTAACTGGATCTAGAGTCGGAAGGCACTTTGATTTGTCACGGGCATTTGGCGTCGTGGTTTCCACAAGATCCAATTATTGAGAGATACCATGCAGCTAACAGGAATTCCATTGTGTACAGCCCCACGGGCTTCAAAACATGTCATCCATGCCAACAAAACTAATCACAATGTGTCGACTTACAGGCTCCTCGTCCAGGCTAGGTTTTATACGTTCAGTTGGGAGTTGGTCCATCTCAATGGCCTCATACGACTGTCTCTGAAGCTTAAGCAGACAATTCAACAGCATGAATTTATACGATTGATTAAATCTCTTAATCTGGCGCAGACAAGCCCGATAATATGAGCACCCTCCAACGATATACAGCAAGTTACCAAAGCAGACTCCCTGGCCACTTGTCACCATGTACGGCAAGCACAGCTGGCTAAATAAGAGAATACAGTGCCCTGTTTAAATGGGCGGACCATGTGCCATGTTTTGAGGTGATTGATAGCTTAAATGAACTATCATACACTGTTCTTTGTTGCAAAGTATAAATAATCCTCAATCTGCACGTGGTACTGACAGCAGCCTCCAGTGATTTGACCCCAAGGTCAAGGCTGTTTTGTGTATTCCGGCTCGACACTTCCGGTGATCATTGTTTACTGTAGTTACTGCAAAATTGGCCGAAATTTTAGGCTTAAGTGAAAACTGGCAGGTGTTTCTGCATGCATCTTAATAGATGTCGACCGATATTAACTATGGTAGACTGGTATGTCTCTGTAGATAGCAAAGAAGGAAAATTACTGCGGTCTGAGGCACGGTTACAGAGAACCCATTTTAATCAGGAAATAACACGAGGCGTACAGTCTCTACTTTCAAGTTTTTGGCTACACCGGAATGAGTTCTCTTGTTTACGGAAATAGAAAGAATAATCAAGTTCTGTGTTTACATGATATCCCTTGGAGTCGTCCTGTATGGAGGTCCACTGTTGTTGGATACCTTCGACATTACCACCGTCACTTTGAAAACAGAAAGATTGAGAAAAATGTCAGCCATATGTAGTGATCATGTCATTGCAAGAGGATATATGAAACAGCGAGCGCACCCTAAGCTGAGTCAACAATAATTTAAACAGGTTTCACCTCGACCTTCAAAGCTAAGGGCTCGGGGGACCCTAATATTGAAGTGCAAAGGTCTTTAAAGATATGTTAGGGTCCTGTAAAGTAAGGAGATGATGTTGAGTACTGTGCAGTTGGATGAGATAATTATCTTAATTACTGGGCTTTAATATTTCTTGTCAGGACTTTGATACAAAGATTATTATTGTCAGTCCCAGTGGATGCACTAATGCCGAAGATGATGATGATGATGATGATGATGATGATGATGATGATGAATTGGAGATTTTAACTGCGCTTTCCGACATGATGCTTCACGTGACAAACGACGCTAGCCCAGATTGTAACCACGTGATCAAAATCTAATCGCCAACATAATAGATATTAATATTGTAACAGCACATAATATAATTGCAGTTTTCCCCTTAAAATAGTGATGATATTCCTAAGCCTACAATGCCTCGTTTACACATTAAAAGTAATGAGAACATCATGTTCGTTAACTATTAACCGTAATATTTCGTTATCATTTCCAGGGTCGGGGATTATAAAATAAGATTTTATTTTTCAAGGTCATTACCATTCATCCTACTGTTTTAAAAGAACGAGGTGTTATCAAACTCTCAATATGCTTATATCTCGTGACAAATTGGCCACAACAAAGTTCCAGAGATATTATTTCTTTCAAAATTGTATTTCAACAGTTATGTAGGCATGCTCTCTTGCCTCTGCTGGACTGACTGACTGAGTTTGGTTTTACGCCGCTTTTAGCAATATTCCAGCAACATCACGGCAGGGGAAACCAGAAATGGGCTTCACACATTGTACCCATGTGGGGGATTCGAACTCGGGTCTTCGGCGTTACGAGCCAACGCTTTAACCACTAGGCTACCCCACCGCCCGCCTCTGCTGGAATCTTCAGTACATGTTCACAGATATCGTTCAGAAAATGATGAGGTTGCCTTACAAAATATTTTTACAGATGGTTCATCAGTTTGCTTTCAAACTTTGTTGTATAGAAGGAAAGTTTGAATGAACACAATAGTCAAACGATTTCTGACATGTTTACTTAGTAATTACTTTTTAAATACTGCAGATCACGTGGGCAAGAAAGGTTATCTCAAATCCTTTTCCATAAACAAATTAATCAGTTGAAGTAGGAACGATTTACGTGTGTAGAAATCATTCAAAATTATAAGATCAAGTGCACTTATTTGTGTTCATTAATGACCTCGATATTTTGTCATTTTCTCCATATTAAAATTGGGCAGTGAGTTAACACTGCAATGATTACTATGTGTTGTGATGCTGATCATTACGATTCAGTACTATACCGTTTTTCTTGAGCTTTCCTCTTCCTGACGCATGTGCAGATGAGAGCTATGACTAGTATGAGAACGAGGCCACCTCCCGCACCTCCAGCTATGGCGGCGATATATTCAGACTTCAGTAGCAACTGCTCCCCTGTAATCTCACACTTGTCCCCACTGTAAACATACTTTGGGTGCGTTTTGCATCTGAAATGAAGGTAGCGATACTTCATGGTTTAAGGGATAATACATCTTTAGAACATATTTATAAACCATTGCAGATGTTCAAATTTCTTGCAAATCCAATCGCACGACCGTCTCTCGTGTATCCGATTGGGAGTTTAAAACAAAAGCAAAACAAGAACAAAACAACGACAACAACCATACAAAACCCAGTCTGATAACATTATCAGAGTTACCAGTGTTACTCCATGATTATCCAGTCTTGTCTCCCCATTCGGTCTTTCACACTTACACTGACCCCACTCGAAACTGTATCTACGTTTAGAATGCTGTTCGAAAGTCGCCGCTAAATATAGTCGTCCTATGAGATTACTCTTATGAGCGAGACAAATCAGGTGGTCAGGCTCACTGACCTGGTTGACACATGTCGTCGTATCCCAACTGCCAAGATCGATGCTCAATATGTTGATCACCGGACTGTCTGGGCCAGACTGGATTATTTACAGACCACCGCCATATAGCTGGACTATTGCTTAGAGCGGCGTTAAACAATAAACAAACAAATAAATACCCAAGATGAAGCTTGGGTCAATAAAATTCATGATTAAACAATATAATAAAAACGTATAGCTTATTATCCGTATAATCAAGCATCGAGTATATTTGTGAAGGAACGCCCTGCTGCAACAGGTTCACAATGCGCACTCGCTCACTGTTTCTAGTATCAGGCCAAAATGACGTGGTTTGTGGATTCAGGGGTAAAATTGGTCATCATTGTGCCCAGTGCCTCGAAAGACAGAACCTATTAAACGAGCATAGCTGGACGAAAACAACATTAACCCGCTTATTGCACACACAACATGGACCCGAAGTGATTTGGCCAATCAGTCATTGACTCTTTCTCTACATATTCACTCTTTCCCTACATCAGGCAAACTGCAATGGAGCCAGGGTAATCGATCAACGCTGCACTTTGGGAAGGAAAGTTTAGTTTTAAGCCACTTTTAGCAATATTCCAGCAATATCACGACGGGGGACACTAGAAATGGGCTTCACACGTTGCACCCATGTGGGGAATCAACCCGGATCTTCGGCCTGACGAACAAACGCTTTAACCACTAGGTTACCCACCGCCCCCACATATATGTTTAAATAGAAACTTTGTACTCTGTAATATAAGTATGAATTCGGCGGAAAAGGCGACTATGAAGTAAATCCGGTCTGTCAAATATTCTGTAATAATTTCTACTGAACACCTCACCTGCATGTAGGCTGACCATCAGCCTGGAGGTGACACACACCGTGATCGCCACAGACGTTACCATTACAATTACTGGTACATATGACCTTTTGGTTGGCCTTTTCGTCAGAACAGCTGTAGCCGAAATCACAGATACCTTCCGCATTGCAGCGAGACGACATTAACTTCTTTGCTGAAATCAAAGGATTGAGAATCGTAGGAACACATTTTAATATATTGGTCAAAGGGTTCGAGTCTCGAATTCGCTCAGATTATACCGTGCTCAGTGTGACCACCATGATTTAACCTAAAAAAGTCCAGGTTTGTCGTTAGAGGCGACTAACGGGATCAGTGGTCAGGGTCACTGACTTAGTTGAACATGTCATCATATACCTATTGTGTAGATCGATGCTGATGATGTTGATCACTGGATTGTCAGGTCCATTTACAGACAGCCGCCATGTAGCTGGAATATTGCTGAGTCGGCGTTAAACAACTTAACTAAATTTGTCATTTATCGCTCAAGATTATCTTCAACGATTGTTTTGACTGTAGTATTTTGACTACATGCGTTTCGCATACAAACGATCTAAACGTGCTGTGCACCAAATATACTGCTACGACCATAAGTTCATTCTTGTTCATAGGCTGTACTTACAAGTACGGAGATCCTCGATGAATTTCCGATTTAAATAACCACTATTTATTTGAATGCCGTTCACGTCAACCTGCTGCAGCCTTTGTTTCACGGGGCCACCGATTTTGGCGATCACTTCTGTAGAATTGGCAGTGGCATTGATCACCGCGGTGTAGTCACAGATGATGGATCCACTCCTGTTAAAAAATCAAATATATACTGAACCGCAAAAGAAACGATATTTTCAAAACCAAATGCAAAATTTTGTTCTTATAAGGTGGTGTTTTGTTAACATGTTTTTCATTCCAAATTGACAGTTATTACCAACATTAGTATGTTTTTGTGATGAAAAAGCATATCGACCAAAAGTACCTTAAAGGTCACATGCAACCAAAAAATCAAACATAATTAAAACACAATTATCACTTCTTCATGGCATATAATATGCATTGCTGATTATGAAAAAACAAATAAACAAAATTATAAGCGTATAATCGCAAATCAAAAGTGCAATATTTTGTACTTTGGTTTACCTCCCTCGAAACGAAGCAGCCGGGATACCGAACCCAGTCAGAGCGGGTGGATGTGCACTCAAGTGTAACGGCTGGTTCATTAGCAGATGCCGCCTGCACGGCTCTTTGTTTGTGTATATATAGAGATATTGGGTTTTGTAAATACATGCTAATTTTTTGTGTATAACATTTTGCAATCAACAGACATCATAACATGTGTTCAAGTATCACACCTGCCTGTCTGTGTAATTACATAATGTGACAGAGACCGAACTCGGGCCATAAATCAATGCATTTTGTTTATGGTGTATAGCCTGATTGGTGTTAAGTTCAAATTGCATGTGGTCAGGGATAGCAGTTGTGTATTGAATATTGTCATTAGCAGACAGGCAGGCAGACACACAGGTGGCAATAAAACAAGACATTGAGTTTTGTCTGTGACAACGACATATCTATATCACAGTTAGAAATTCTGTCAACGCTAAATAATGACATTGCTTTTAAGTATCGAACTGAGAAAGTGTCTCGGTAAGAAGAAGGTGTGGTGAAATAGACAAATGAGATTATATAAACAGTTTAATTTACTGTCATAACATATAAAAAGCTCGCGCCTGTGAGATATCAACAAAACATTAGAAAAATGTCTCACACCAAAGCCTTCACCGAGTATTCACCCGACAACCCGCTTCCAAGCTGCGCGAACCTACTTACTTGCGCATGTGCTATGAGCGCAGCCCAGCTGTTGAAACCCGTTTTCCCCAGAAAAGTCTGGGGAAAATTAGTGAAACGTTTGAACTCCGATTTCGCGCGTTTTTTTCATCGCGTTATTTTTAAACTTTATAAGTTGAATTTGCATTTTTGACGATTTGTTTCGGTATGTCCATACCGAAAGGTATCAGAATCTGCAAAGTTGTGTTTTACGTTGCATGTGACCTTTAAAGGACAGACGTGGTAAAAGGTTCCGTATGACATTCGTGAAAATGAAAATGCATGTGCAAATCGTGACAACCCTACCGAACCAAGCCTTGGGACGATTGCAAGCTTGCAAGGCTGCACGGAGGGTAGCCAATCATTTTAATGTTTATGTTAGGACAATCTACCGACTGCAGGAACGGTATCAGGCCACTAACAGCAACCAAGACCATCCACGCAGTGCATGACCTGCAGTAACATCACAACGTCAAGACCGACTGATTGTGCGCAATCATCTGCAGGGTCGCTTCACCAGAGTCACGGAAACAGCTCGCCAGACCACTGGGACTCACAAGAGACCCTTTAGTGCCTATACCTTGCGTCGACGTTTGCGCGAAAGAAACCTCTGCTGTCACAGACCATGTCGTGGTCCTGTCCTCACAGCTCGTTACCGCCCAAACTGACTGCAATGGGCAACTCAGCATCGAAATTGACGTTATCGAGAGTGAAGAACTGTGCTTTTTTCTGATGAAAGCCGATATTGTGTTTCGAGAACCGATGGCAGAGTGAGAGTATGGCGAAGGCATGCGGAACGGTTTTCCAATGAGTGTATTGGTGAAAGAGACTCGTGGGGTGGTCCAAACATCATGGTGTGGGGTGCAATCGATTTGAACAAAAGAGCTGGCCTCGTGCTGTTCCAGCATCACGGTCCAGGACGAAGAAATGGCGTGACAGCTGCTCGCTATACTGACCAAGTCATGAGACCCCACGTTGTACCACATTTTGAACGTCGCAGAAATCACATCTTTTTGCAAGACAACACTCGTTCCCACACTGCCAGGGCAACACTGGACTTCCTAAGACAACACGACATCCAATCCCTTCAATAGCCTGCACTCAGTCCGGATTTAAGTCCAATAGAACACCTTTGAGACGAGATTAAAAGAATACTGAATGACCTTCAACCAAGGCCGACAACTTCGGCTGGACTCGATCAGGCATTAAGCAGAGTACGGATCCAAGTGCCTATGGCCTTCAAAAACCGGCTAATTCATTCCATGTACAGACCACGCAACGCCGTCATTGATGCCCATGGAGGCCAACACGATACTGACTTTGAAGTATCATAGTGGGACCATTTTTGGTGAATTTGTTTGTGTGAACTCTACATGTGATTCCCGAACATGTGTTAACCATAATTGTCAAGATTCAACGCAATCCTCCGTTTTGATTGTTAATTAGGGAGAATTAAAGTGCGGTTTAAGAAACCTATATCGTTTCGCGTTTCTTTTGCGGTTCATATAGATCATTATTTTCATAGCTTGAATTTTCAGAGCGTTCTGTAAGCGTTCCTCAACGTATATTTGTATATGTCATAATATATCGAATAACCGAAATACTGTTCAAAGCGGTGTTCAGTTGGAACTCCCTTTAGGGATGGTGTCTGTTGCGCAGTGGAAATAAACAATGGTGCAGAGCTATGCAATGTAACTGAAAACCTAATCAACAATATTTTGAACTTACCTTTGGACTAAACAAGGAACTAAACGTGACAACTATTATAAGTGAGAAAACAATGGATGATTTACAAGCAACTAAACGTGATTCTCTCAAAGATGAAAATGAACCTCTAAATACCACTAATTGTCTAACGTGTAACACTGCAATATTCTAACAAGAAATTCAACAATCTAACAATCTAAACGCCACGCGAGCAAATGAACCTATACGACGAACAATGCCTAAAATGAAACGAACAGCACGAACAAAATAAGCTCGAATGGGAGAAAGGAGCGAATGGGCCGGTGTATCGTTGACCACCGTCTTGTATGTGTAAACCTACTTCGGATTTCACGTGCACTCATTTCCGGGTGTATTCAGGCGATACGACCAGTTTGCACTGGGTGTGATTGAGCGAGCAGTTTTAAATGATAAGACCAAAATGCCTTCAGAACACCCCCCTCCATGATAGTTTTAATGATAGACATGGGTCTGACTAAATGGGAGAAATAAGGAAAACTATCTATACTGAACAGCAAAAGAAACGCAAGTTTCGAAGAAATGAAATCTCATGATGGTAAGTGTTCATGTTATGGAACGTTCATGGTAAAGTGACGTAATGATCCAAGATGAGATGATGTCATGCAATTTGACGTCCATACGAACAAACACACCAACAGTGCAGCAAAACCATAATTTTAGCACGTGCATCCACGGTTCTGGATGAAAAGCATGCATTTCACTCTGAGGTATCCTTTATAAAGGTTTGTGTCAAAGAACAGTTCAGTATTGACACTAGGAGATGTACACGCCACACAAACGATGCCTAAAATAACGACTGAGCAGAGAGGAATGACCATTGGAAAGTTGCACGGAGGTAGCTCTGCAACCGCTGTAGCTAGACAATTGGGCTGTCATCTTACCACCATTACACGACTTGCTCAACGTCATCAGCAAACCGGGGTTGCTGCTGATCGTCCCCCTACCGGACGGCAACGACTGACATCACATACGCAAAATCGGTTCATCCGGGTCACTCATCTAAGGAACCGAACTCAAACACCAACAGTAACAGCAGCCTTAGTTCATGGGTCAAGGGGAGCAGTGTCCAGCGATACGATTAGGCGTCGTCTTCGGGCTGCTGGAATCCACTGCCGAAGGCCATATGTGGGGCCAATTTTGACACGCCAACAACGCCAGCGACGTTTGCAGCCTTCCCAAAGCAGGGGTGTCGATGGGTTATCTGTCTCAAAACAACATTAACGTTTTTCCATGGCCGTCTCTTTCCCCGTATATGGCTCCCATTGAACATTCTGGGACGAAATTGGACGGAGGATTGGTGCAGGTAGACAGCCACTCACACTTGCACAATTGGAATAGAGATTGCTTTTGAGCGGACCAATTGCCTCAGGCATTCTTTCAGACTCTAATGAACTCAATGAGGCCACGTTGCACAGCCTGTGTGCAAGCTCAAGGTGGCCATACATGCGACTAAAGAGACTGTCTCTTTTCGCGTTCGGGGGTATCTCCATTTGACGGACCGTGATCAATTTGAACTTATTGCAGTTCAATGTCAACATCAACTGTTAAATTGACAGTGTTGTCTATTGAATAAATGATGGGACATGATTTTGGTTGTCTTCTATTTACAAAGTTGACAAAAAGCCAGACTTGCGTTTCTTTTGCTGTTCAGTATATGAGTATGTATATCAGCTGCTGTTACAGACATCATTTCAAATTCATCATTCAACTCCATTCAAGAGGGCAAACCTTTGTGATAGGACTTATCAAGACTGTAGCGCCAACCTGAGTGAGTGAGTGAGGTAATATTTAACGTCACATCGGCAATATTTCAGCCATATCGTGACGAGAACATGAGTGAGTGAGGTATTATTTAACGTCACATCGGCAATATTTCAGCCATATCGTGACGAGAACATATGTCACATTGAAATGGAATAGATGTATATTATAAAAACCTGTCGACGAAGGACAGTAAAACAACTAGAGTATCACAATTACAACTAAAACTAGTGTGGAAAATTAAAACTAATAGCACTATTGGGACAATACAACATAAAAACTGGCTATAGATCGCCAACAACTGAAGGTAGATCACCAATCTAGGGACCATGGGGACTTACAGTACTTTTGCTACCAGCATGGACCCTAGTTGGATTTATATCACCACTTCAGCTGCTGGCGATTGAAGTCAAATTTAGCCAAAATTAAAATGACAAGAATACTACATTTAAAACAGCTGGTAATATTTA